TACTTAATGACATTTAATATATATTTATTTTATTAAAAAATAAAAACTAAAAAAAAATCAAAAAATTTGAAAAAAAGATTTGGTGAAGTGGACCCCACACCCAGAGGCGGAACCAGACCAGGATGAAAGGGGAGCTAATTTTTAAAATTTTGAAACGATCATCATCTATTCGTTATCCAATAATTTTATCAATAGAGTTATCATATTTCGAAAATCTTGCAAAATATCAATCTACATTGACAACTGTATATTACAAGATGAATTTTTTGTATTATATGAAATTGATAAATAATAAAAATATTTATTAAAAAAAAACTGTTAAAAATATCATTTTCTGTGTATTTGGTTGAGAAATTTTTGAAGATTTTTTTTTAATTATTAATTATTATTTTTTTGTTCATATCTATTTTTATATTATCAAAAAATTATTATGATATAAATTTTTTATTATTCAAAATTTAAATTTTTACATAAATATTCTATCAATTTTTTACAATTTTTTAATTTATTTATTATTTTTTATATTATATATTATAAAATAAAAACAAAAAATTAAAAATTATAAGGGGGTGGAGTAGAGGGAGGGAGGACTGAAGCCCCTTTGCCGCCACATACATCCGTCCCTGCTCACACCGATCTCTTTTATATATATATATATATACAGATGAAATATAGACCAACTCGAAAAGGTGTCCAATCAAATCAACATTAATTAATCATTGTGAGCCTAATTTAGTGCAACAATGTGTTTGCTCTAATTCATTACTTGTTCATCATCTTATGTTACATAATACACACACACTATTATTTATTTATTTATTTATTTATTATTATTATTATTATTATTATTTAGGAAATTTATATATAAATGCCATTGACAAGAGTAGTAAACCCTTCAACCACCTTCACATGGGCTTGTAGCACATCTCTTTAATTAAATTAAGACAAAATTTACAAATTTTAATTCCTACATAAATATATCAATAATCACTTTTAAAGAAAGATTCGAATTTTCGACACCTAATTACAATGTTCAACATTTTATATGTAGTTCATAGTTCAATCGATTTATTAAACTCGACCGATATTTTCACCGTTCCATAAACTTACATCAAAATCGATATTTTCACCGTTCGATATACTTGGATCAAATTTATGCTATAGTTGGTTTTTTTTTTTTGTGTAACTAATTTGATTTATATCATGATTTAACATTTTTTTTTAATTTAATTTATATGTGTTCAAATAGATATACAAAAGAAATGCTAAAAATCTCGAGAGCGTCGGAAAAAGAAAAAAATGAAAATTTCTTATTATGAAAACTTGTATTAGTCGATTTTAAAAAATGCATGTAGTTTATTATTTTACAACATTTTTAAAATATAACCATTCTGAAAAATAAAATTTCCGACAACAAATAGATATATGTCCTTAGGGATGTCAAAAGTAATTCCGATCCAAAAAATTGAACCCGTTCGACCTGAAATTTTTCAGGTTCTGATTTGGGTATTTCGGGTTTGAAAAAAATCAGGTCGATCCGAACTCGAAACGAAAAAAATTCGTGTCGTGTTCGGGTCGTGTTTTGGGTTGACCTGATAACCCGAAATATAAAATCAAGTTATATTTTGGGTTTTGTGTTTCGAGTTGATCTGAAATTTTTATTATTATTATTTTAATTTATAATATTTATATTATTTTATATTTAAAATAATATAAAAATAAAAATAATCTTTTTTAGGTTAATTTAATTTTTTTAAGTTTTCGAGTCTGTTTCATGTCGGGTTCGTATGAGATTTGTTCGGATTTCGGGTGACTTGAAACTAATTCAAGTCAACTTGAACCCGACCTGAAAGAATTTGTATCGTGTTCGAATCTAGAGTTTCAGGTCAAATTTCAGGTTCGAATCGAGTTCGAATTAACAGTTTTTTGTTATCCTCATGGCTCAACCCGACACAAATACGACCCAAAAACACAAATTGACACCCTATACCTCCTTTATATATATATATATATATAAATAATTATGTTATTTCGAAAGATTAGAATTTTAGTTTATTCTTTTATCGAATTCTGATTCCGCGACTGCGCACACAAAAGCCAGATATTTTTATGGAGTTTGACCATTGGTTAGAATATGTTTTAAAATGCCTAAAATTTTAGAATGAACATGAAAATTACATTTCAATATGCCCCACACAAATCACTTAATTCAATAAATGCCTACAAAGTTAGGTTGCTTCATTATTTATTATCACATGAAGCTTCTCTTTTTTTTTTTTCCACACAATTATGTAAATTAATTACGTTGCTCTACAAACTCTATATAATAAAATGCAATAAAATAAAATATTTCATTAGAGTAGTAATATTGAGTGGATTTTAATTTTAATTTAATTTTATTATTATTATTATTATTTTTAAAGTACAATTTATCCCACTTCCATTGGACGTGACCGTGAGGTCATGGGTTCAAACTCCCGACGCCTCAGGTCACCTGCCACACATGGTTCGCCTAATGTGACTTTTCCATCGGACCTGATTTGTACGGTATTAGGTTCGGCCGGGGGTTTACCCCATACGTATTTTCGGATAGTTGATGCGGATTCCCCATCATCCAAAAAAAAGAAAAAATTCTCTTGGCAATAATGGAAAAAACCTAATTCAACTGCAGTCCAATAACCTTTAATTTTGAATCATTAACCAAACTCAACATTGCCCCTAATTTTGGGTAACATGAAAAAGAATTATTATTATTATTATTATTTAATGTAAAAATAAGTGTTGTATTTATTCTTTGAAGTTTGATTTTTATAAGAAGCTTACCTACACGTAGCGTATCTTGGTTACTGTATACACATAATTTAGGATAAATATAATTAGTAGATAATTAAAAATATATTAGTGAAAATAATTATTTTATAACATAAATAATTATAAATAAAGAGTAAGATAATTAATTAATTTAATTAAATTTTTAAAAATTATTAAATAAAAAATTTAATATGAGATTAAAATGTATAATCCTTTTCCAAAAACTAAAAGTAACATTAAATGTGAGACGGATAGAATCGAAACGTAGACACTATAGGTGGGACAAATGGAGTATTAAATAAAAATATAATAGTATATTTTATTTTAAAAAATATTATATATATTCAAATTATAATTCAAACCATGCAAAATTTCAAATAACATATTATACATGCATGAAAATTAGAGTTTTGGTTGTAGTATTATTTATGAGTTCAAAAAACTAGAATGAAGCCAAGGATGGATTCATAAAAATAAAAATAAAAATAAAAAATAAAAAAACCGGCCTTCATAGATATCGTGTGTTTGTTTGGAAGTTTGAATTTTGAGTTAGAATTTGAACAATAAAAATATTAAATTGTAATAGTTGTATAATGTGATATAGATAGGGATTGATGTGATGGTTTAAGTGTAAATTTGATTTTTAAAATAATATAGAAAATAAAAATTAGATATTTGATGTGATATTTTTGGAGAAAAAATTTAGAATACATAGTAAATTTATGGTAAAATCCCTCAAACAAACACGCCCTTATGGTCCACTTAAATTACGATTTTAGTCCCAAAGTTTTGAAAATTTTGAAGAATTTTAAAAATAATAAAAAAAATTGAAAATTTGATATGATATTTTTTGAAATGAAAATTATACTATTTGATACGATATTTATTTTAAATTTACTATTAATAAATAATACTATCTTCGTCAAGTTCTAAGGATTTCATTTATTTTTTGCGTGAATATTAATTATTATATCAAAACGTAATACAAATTAATTTTTTTTTTGCAAAAATACTTCTATCAGTGTCTTGTAATATTAATAGAAGGACATTTGTACAAAAAAATTATACAAATATAAGGATATTTTTAATGTTAAGTATATTGACGCAAAATATAAATTTGACCTGACCCTTAGAGGCGGACGATTGTTTTATAGTGATATGATTATTTACGGAAATGAGACTATTGTTTTGGAGCGGAAAAAAATGGTAAATATGACTTTTGTATTGGAACGGAGGAAGTATTATTTAACAAATCATATAAAGTAAGTAATTATTCTAACAGTTTTATAATATTAAGGGCAAATTGCTTTTTAGTATTGTAATTGATTTTTCTTATCATTTTAAAGAATTTTACGTGTTCGCTATGTGGTGTCTATTTGGCGGATATATATTTTTCGGCATGCTAACCGAATGCCACGTGCGGATTTTCGACACCAGAGGGTCAATTGAAAAAAAAATAAAAAAATACATGATATTTTTATACATGTTTCAATCATAGATTAGTTGTGCAAATTTCTTTTATGTGACTAAAATGATAAATTAGTCAGTTATGAAATTAAAAAGATTAATTTTTTCAAAATATTAATATTCCATGTGGCACTTACACGGACACGTGTCATTTGGCGTGCCACACAAACATCTCCGACGCCAGATGAATAAATATGTCAAAAAAACTTATTTATGAGATTATTTCAATACAAGTTTTAGTTACGTGATTCAACTGATAAATACTAAGTTATGAGACAAAAAAAAATATTTTACACTATTATTAAATAAGTTGATTATATATAAGGTTTGTGTATATTATTCCGGTGTGTGTTTATATTTCTATTTTAATTTTTAATTTAAATAGTTATTGTACATGATATTTAATTAATATGTATTTGGGTGACATTTTTATGAAAAAATTTGTAAAAATAATTTGAATAGCATTTTCTATGATATATTTTTATGAAAATTTTTGTAGAAGTAAATTTTGAAATCTACTAAACAAATACTTCACCATTTATTATTTGTTTGTGGTTATGAGTTAGTTATTTGATATACTTGGTAATTTTCAATTTGCCTTTGCCATCGACTAAGTATTAATTTGTGGTGAAATTACGAAAAAATTGTATGGTAAAAAAAAAAAAAAAAAAAGTAAAGTTGAGAACAAAAAGAAAAAAAAAATTATAAAATTTATTACACTCAATACTCTCACAGTTTTTTCGGGATCAACAAAAAAACAACCTAAAATACAATAACACAATTGACATATTTTTCAACATCAATCTCTTCACAAAACTTCCACTAATTATTCAACCACGACAACATCAAGAAACACACACAAACATAAAACATCATAAAAACACAATTCTTGAAATAATTATTACGTGCATAAAGAAAACCGACCAGACTTTTAAACCCTAGAATCCATAGCCAAAATTGTGCTAAGATTCATAGGGTTCATGAACTTATCGTCCCCAGTCATGATATGTTGGACTATAATCCTATTGGCCCTTTCCGACGGGTGGAACGGATCCCAAAATGCATACAAATTTCGATTCGGACACAAGTTGGAGGCCGGCGTGCAAAGCCCGATCCCATTGTAAGGACCTTGTCCGCAACATGCTATCTTCGATGTAATAAACCCTATACAATATCATAAAAAATTATTACAGATCGGTTTTAAGATTAATTTACGCGAAAAGGTGTAGGAAATTCGGATTCTTGGACATACCATAGGCTTGAGGAGTCGAAACAAAGTCCATGTGCATCGAATATGTGTTGGCCGCGACAAAGATATGGCCCCCGACTTCTTGGTTGAGGCTACTCAACATATCGGTTAGTTGTGGGTTGAATAGTCGGGCCGCGCGGGTCAACTCCACATCACACTCGCCTGTCCGGCTACGTTGGGCCAACTCGGCCGGGACACAGCCCATTGGGCCGGTTCCGGTCACTAGGACTCTTCTTGCTCCTAAGTCATATAATTTCTGCAAAATAGGTATATATATATATATATATATGTTGTGTCTTCAAGATATACATTTATAATCATTTATTTATTTTCATATATATATTCCTTTAAAAAATCCAAAAAAAAAAGAAGCCATTCTTAGTATTCAATTTGAGAATTTGGGTTCGAGATTTTGAAAATAAAAAATTGAATTAAAATAGTGTTTGATGCTGTATAAATAGATATTTGATACAATATTTTGAATGAAACTAATTATTTCTTATACAATTTATTAAACAAAAATGGCTATTTGATTTGATAATGTAAAAAAAATATATATATATATGTATATATATAAATAGTAAGACCAAAACTAATCTTAAATAAACCAAACCTTAAGGTTTGTTTGGCTTTTTTCTTTTTTGTTAGAATTTTAATTTAAATAATATATTAATATGATATTTTATTAAAAAAATATTCAATTTTCATCGCAAAAATAAAAGTAATTCAATTAAGGGGGTTTTAAATTGTATTGGAAATTATAAAATACTTTCGCCAAAATTGGTCGAAAATATTTCTCTTTTTCCCTTTCTTGATGCTAGATAATTATTAAGAATCCAATTCGAATGCGTTTTTTCCCCGAGATCAAAAGTATAGAGACAATTAAATTAAAGATCGACAAAACATACCCTCAATATCTTTCGATACTCAGAAATGAGATAGGGAACATAATCCGGGAGAGCAAATTGTCGCGATCTTGCAGAAAACGGCACCAAATAATAATTGTTGACGAAATCGTTTCCTCCTAGTGTAATGAGCACCAAGGCTTGATTTACCAAGGCCTTAGTTTGCTCGGCGCCTATAAGGCTCGTTACGCGATGCTGATACTGTTCAAAGTATTCGAGCTGCTGCCCGATCCGAATAATATTCGCCTATATATAAAATTATATCGAATATAACTAAGTAAAAAAAAAATTAAAAAAATAGTAAAAAATTAAAATTGACATGTCCCTATATATATATATATATAAACTTAAAATTTAGTATTTCACAGCAGCTGGGGCTAACTGAACTCATCAGTATGTGTATTTATGAGACACTATATGTAATAAGACACTTTCGAATGTTGTTATCTATGCACCATTTATTTTATTTTACCTTTTTTTTTTAATTTTTTTTTCTGCTACAAGTTGAAAGGGACATTTCACTTCGACACATTAATAGTTATATCGACAGCACAGTAAAAGTTAAAGTAAAGTTAAAATTAACTGTGAGTTAAAATAGTTTCGAAATTTCGGTTGTTTTCAAAATAGTAAAAAATTTTGAATAAAAATTAAGTTTTTAATTAGAATATCTAATTATAAATTTTAGATACAAATTAAGTGTTATATGTAACATTTTTTTTGTGAAAAAAAAAAGATGAAGTTAATAGTATGAAATTGTGTATGAATATGCAATTGTTTTATATATATATATACATAATTAAAAAAAAACGTGCTAATTATAATATAATTTAATGGAACATTATATTTATGGTATATATATATATATTATATTTTAAATGAATGATATATTTTGTATAAAATTAAATGTATGGTTCATGTATATGTTAACCAAAATGATGAACTATAATTGTGCATAAAATCATGACATAATAGGGATAACATGCATGCACAATTTGGACTTAGTAATGCAATAAATTTACCAAAAAAGTATTTCACGCATTTATGTTAAAATATATATTTTCCAAAGAAGGAAAAATGAAAATACGTTCCAAATTGTCTTCACAATTTTTAGACATATATATATATACTAGGGGATTTTTTATTTTTTTTAATGATATTGGAATCCGCAACTACTAAAAAAAAACGATAAAAAAACCTATGCTCATGTATAGCCTAATTCATTTAAAATAAAATATAGTATCAGATTAAATTAAAAATGTTTCGAATTTTAACTATATTATTTGAATTATATTTTTAAGAAGTACTTGAAAATGACATGGTTAATAATAAAAAAAAAAAAAAAAGAAGACATTTTTAAACAACTATGGTGATGTATTTTGGATCCAAAATCAAATTTGTACAATTATAATGCATCATTTGTCTGGACAAAAATAATGAATTTGAAATTTTCTGAATGAAAATAACTCTGAAACAATTAAGTGAAAATTGAGTAAACTGTTTTTTTAATCTCCCTTATCATTTTAGTTCTGTAAATAGAGTTTGTCGTAAATTAGTCTCAAGTGAAAAAATTTCGCTATTTTAGTCCTCCGGCGCCGGAGACGTCCGCGTGGCTCGCCGGAGGCCACGTGTCCGCTAGGTGTGGCGGACACGTGGATTTTATTTTTATTTTTTCATTTTTCTAATTTTTTTTAAAAAATTTATTTTAAATTTTATTTGCCTTTTTAAATTTTTTGTTTGGTCTAATTGAAAAAAAATTAAAGAAAATTAAAAAAATAAAAAATAAATAAAATCCAAGTGTCCGCTAGGTATCGCTGACCTGGCGGGACACCTGGCGGACATGTGGCTTCCGGCGAGCCACACGGGCATCTCCGGCGCCGGAGGACTAAAACAACAAACGTTTTCCACTTATGGGACTAGTTTGCGACAAACTTCACGGGACTAAAATGATAAGGGGTCAGTTACGAGACTAAAAAAACAGTTTACCCGTGAAAATTTGGACTTATAAAGAAATCGGGACCTAACTTTAAACAAAAAAAAAAAAAAAAAAAAACTTACGAATTGAATTCCAGTATCATTGAGAATTCCAACTCCAGCTGAAGCAAAATTAGCCCCGACAAGAAGCTTTTGCCCTTTCAACATAGGGCTTAAATATGGCTGTGTAGGTTCTGTTCCCATATGCTCGCCTACACTTAAAAAGAAAACACAAATCATATTCATATTTAACCATAGTTAAAATCGAATTGTAGTCATATTTTGACCGTAGTTAATCAAACTACATGCAACAAAAGCTAAACTATATAGAAGAAAAAAAAAAAAAGAACGAAGAAGAAGAAGAAGAAGAAGAAAGAATTGCGTATATCTTTCTAAATAGTGTAGTTTACGATTACTGATATATTTATTTCAGTGAAAAATGTTCGATTATGAGAATGTAGTTATGGTAAAAATTTGTAGTATATTATAATTTAGCGACGATTTTTTAACTTTGAAATGTGTAAATTAACGGGGAAAAAAAAAATCCCACTTATGATGTCGGGGATATTAAGGCCGTTAGAGAATCTTCCGGTGGGGCGATGAGTTGGATAGTCGATCCCATAAGGAGGGTTGTCGGCGCGAGCACTAGTGATGAGATAATTATTGTTCCCATTGTCGACAAGAGAGTCACCGAACACGAAAAAAGCCCGTGCCTCGGCCCGGGGAGTGAATCGAGCAAATGCGAGAAGAGTTATGGCGAGAAGAAGAGTCGCCGAGGATCGATTCGGCAAGAAAAGCATGGCCATTGTAGCTTATTACAAGCTCTCAAAACAAAAGTTTGATGATGTCTCTAGTAGAGAGTAGTGTAGTAAGAGTTGAGACTTAGTGTAATAACAATGTCATGGAAGTGTATGCATATATATAGATATAGAAATATATATAGATATAGATATATATATGTATGTATGTATGTGTGTGTGAGGAGAGAGATTCATTAAAAGGGATAGAGAAAATTAAAGTGTTACAAAGTGGCATTGAATACAATGCTTGGATTTACAGGTGATGTGTTTATAAGGATTCTTGAAAGTGATGAAGTGGGGACTTTTTGAAATGTTGTGGTTGTTTGTGTTTTTTCCTATTTGATTTATGTGATTTATAATAAAATACTCCCTCTGTCTCGGATATTTTGTTACTTTAGACACGAAATTTTAGGAGAGGTATAATTAATAAATAATTAAAAATATATTAGTAAAAATAATTAAATTAAGATTAAAGTGTATAATTCTTTTCAAAAAAAGAAAAGTGATAAAATAAATGGGACGGACGAAAATTAAAAAGTGGACGTGAGAAGTGAAACGGAAGGAGTAATTTTTATTTTAGAAATATATATATATTGCTATTTTTGGTCTACTCGAAAGATATTTATTTTGTTATTTTCATCCATCGAAATTATAATATATATTTGTGTTTTAGTTAGTATGAACTTTACTATACTATTATAAATATTTTTACAGCAATACTATTAAATCAAATTAAAACATAGAATATATATATATATATATTACACAAATAATATCCAAAAATGAAATACAATATCTATTAAACTTCACTTAAAAAATAAATCTTTTAGTGGACTGATGGAGTATCCCATACTTAAAAAAAAAAAAAAAAAAAAAAGAGTGTTTGGATTGTATTTACTTGTATTTAAACAGTAATTGTATGTAATATTTTGTAAAAAAAAAATTATGAAAATTTATGAGATAATTATATAATAAAGAAATTAATAGAAAAAACTAAAATTTTATTTGAGTCTTGGTTTAATTTGATGAGATATTTAGTAAATGAAATATAATATTCCCTCCGTCCCTTATCTATATATTCATTTACTCTTTGCACGGAGTTTTAAAAATATTAATATTATATTAGAATGTAATAAAAGTAAAGATAAAAAGACTAAATTGCCCTTATTAGTATTATATGATATAAAGGTAATGACATTTGTATAATATATTGTAAATTGGAAAGGTATTTGTAATATTAAATAGTTAGTACAGTTGCTAAAAAAGAAAATGAATACTTTGTTATGGGACGGACGAAAATAAAAAAAATGGATAAATTATTAAGGGATGGAGGGAGGCAGGGAGAATATTTTTATTGAAAAGCATAGAGATTGAATGATAGAAAAATTGATTTAAAGAACAAACCAAATTATTTGTGTATATATTTTTTTTCTATGTTTTACTCTTCATTTATTTGATAATTTGTCCTACATAATCATTTTACAGAATTTTATCCTACTTCAGCATAGTATTAAAAAAACAATTTTATTTTTACTAGTAAATAGACTCTTATTTATATTAGATAATCACACTAAATATATATATTTAAAATATTACATCTACTGTATTCTTAATTTAATATATATATAGATTTTTTTTTCATTTTTTTTTTATTTTTTTAATTTTTTTAATTGGATAAAATGAAAAAATTAAAAATAAAGCAAATAAAATTAAAAATAATTTTTTTGAAAAAAAATAAAAAATAAAAATAAAAAATAAAATCCACGTGTCCGCCAGGTATCGATGACCTGGGGGACACGTGGCCTCCAGCGAGCCATGCGGGCGTCTCCAGCGCCGGAGGACTAAAACAGCGAAAATTTTTCACTTATGAGACTAGTTTGCGACAGGCTCCACTTACGGGACTAAAATGATAAGGGAGTCCAGTTACGGAACTAAAAAAACAGTTTACCCTAGATTATATTACTTAAATTTAAATTTATCGAGTCTGTTATATATTGTCTATATATATATAGGTTCTTTATTTTAATGATAAATAAGACAATCTCACTATTTTCCCCAAAAATTTATAACGTACAGTATAAAATTTAAAACAAGAATACAAATAAACATTTCATTCAAAAAAAAAAATTCAAATTTGAAATATATCAAAACACTAAAATACAACCAAATACATGACGATCATTTGAATAATTATTTTTTTCTATCATGATAGAAATGTAGGGTCCTTATTTTGTTTAATTATTTTTTTCCCACATGCAATTAAAAATAGACAATTATAGTAACATAATTATGATATATATATATATATATATATTTACTTAATCATGATGAGTGCTTTTGTTTGGTATCTTATATGGTTTTTGAAATTTAAATAAGATAATAAAAGGGTGTTTGGTTAAATATGGAGATATGTTTGATTTTTAAAATATAGATTTAAGATATAGAACAATAGGTCAATAAAATATATTTAATTTAGATATTATTCCGTACAAACTAAAATTTATAAAATACAAATAAATAAATATATATATATATACATACACATATGATTAACTAAATCCATTGGTATACAAAATATTTTATTCATTTCAACTAAAAATATTATTTTTAGTATTTTTGTATGTCGCACTTACAAGTATCATTCCCTCCGTCATTCAAATTTATACTCATTTTCCTTTTTGGGTTGTCATCGGAAAATATTTTCATTTTTCTTTTAAGTAAAAAATTATTTCACTTTTGTACTGTTTTTTATTATAAAATAAAAAATTAACAATTATTACTCACTTTTATTAAAACTCTCCGGTCAAATGAGCACGCATTTATATGACGGAGGGAGTATTTTTTTTTATTATAGTATCATACATTAATATTAAAATATTTTTAATTTTTACATAAATTATATATATTACATTATACATATACATAAAGTAAAAAGAATAAAAATAACAAAATTATCTTATACACTTCCACTAATCAATATAATATATATATTAGAATTAAAAGATTGTAGATGTATCGTATTTAATTTTTGGGTAAACTGTTTTTTTAGTCCCGTAACTGAACTCCTTTATCTCTTTAGTCCTGTAAGTGGAGCCTGTCGCAAACTAGTACCATAAGTAGAAAATTTTCGTTGTTTTAGTCCTCCGGCGCCGGAGACACCCACGTGGCTCGCCGGAAGCCACGTGTCCGCCATGTGTCCCGTCAGGTCAACGATACCTGGCGGACTAGTGGATTTTATTTTTTTTCATTTGGACCAAATATAAATAAATTTAAAAAGACAAATAAAAATAAAAATAAATTAAAAATAAATTTTTAAAAAATGAAAAATAAAAATAAAATCCACGTGTCCGCCAGGTGTCGCTGACCTGGCGTACACGTGGCCTTCGGTGAGCCACGCGGGCGTCTCCGGCGTCGGAGGACTAAAACAGCGAAAAATTTTCACTTCTGGGACTAGTTTGCGACAAGCTCCACTTACGAAACTAAAATGATAAGGGGGTTATGGAACTAAAAAAACACTTTACCCTTAAATTTTTTATTTTTTGTAGATTCATAATTTAAATAATAAAAAATGACATTTAATTTAAAATGCCAAACAAATTTGTCACCCTATTGATGCATATTTACAATACTTAAAAATTAGGTGAGAACATGCATTATTAAATCACTCTCTTCTAATTACAGCTATGTTATAATTTAGTACTATTTGATTTTAATGACATCCATGTTCTCATGCTTTTTATTTTTTTATTTTTTTATTTTTATTTTTTTTCATTTGTGTACATGATAAAATCATGTGTCGACTTTAAAAGAATTTTCGCGGACCCTCTTTCATATTTTCGAGTATATATATATATATATATATTTTTATCGAGTCGCATCTAATATTGAGGTTGAATATTTAAGTGTCTTGTTCCAATTAATCTTGGGATATTATTAGTCTCACAATTTAAATGTTATTTGATTATAGTTGATGTCGCGCAATCCCAAAATTTTGTAATAGCGAACTAATTACGCAAAATATGTAAAAAAAAATATATATATATTAGCGATCGTTTATGCGACAAGAAGCATATTCGAATAATCTATAGGGTGTAAGTGTAAATATTAAAATATTTTAATTTGATATTTTTATATAAAATGATAAGATATTTTATTAATATCGTAAAATTTAGAGTTAATCAATAATAAAACGTGTCTATTATTTATGAATACCTTCGACGATAGAATATAATATAGGATGGGAAGTTATTAAATTATACAAAAAGGTTAAGAACAAGGAAATTACGTTAAATCGTATATATAAATTTTAATTATGTAATTTCATTATATATCGAATTATTTCAATTTAAAATTCATACGAACTTGTTAAAATTAAATTAAAAAGTATTTACAATTTACATATTGAATAATAGACTAAATCACATGTTGAATTTGATTAATAATTACGATGTTAATCCATATGAAACATCGAGATAATATTGAAAACATTATACTACAATATAAGTAAATCGACCAAGAAAAAATTTGAAATATATTGTTAATTATTTCAACAATATATATATATTAAAACACGTACAAAAATATATTGAGCTACATTATTCAGCACGGTCGACATCGAATATTTATATATATATATATATATTTGAAAAATAAACAAACCTACATACATTCCCTACCAGATTACACCAGAAATGTTGAGCAAATTATTCTCTAGAAATTCTAAATTAAATAAATTGTCACCTACTTGTTCAAGTTTGCTTTGAATTTAATTTATTGAATAGATGAGGAAAAAATTCAGAATAAAATTGAATAATTATTTTTTATTTTCATTAAATTAGATAATATGTACTGTGACAATGAGAGCTGTGCATGCCTGTCTCTACTCATCCAGATATTAAATATTTTGTCATCCAATTTATGAGGCTGAATAATTAGTTACAACTTACACTACATATAGATATATATATATATATTGATTTATTTAAAAATGATGTGTTGTTAGATAGTTTGAAAATATGTACTCCCTCTGTCCCGGAATTGTAGTTTGAGTTGGGTTTGGCACGGAATTTAAGGATTATTAATATTATATTGGTAGTGGATAAATAGTACGGATAAAAGACTTTTTTGTCCTTGTGGGTGTATTAGTGTAAAAAAGCAGCGGCAATTATGTAATAATAATGAAAAAGTAAATGTAGTTTTATAGTGATATGGTTGTTTATGTAAATGAGACTATTGCTTTGGGACGGACAAAAATGGCAAATAGAACTATTGTATTGAGACGGAGGGAGTATATTGAAGTACATAGGTACTCCGTTCGCGCATTGTTTTTAGATTTGATTTTTTGTGTTGTATGAGAAATTGTGTCAAAAGTATAAAATATATTACTCTCTCTGTCCCGGTGCAAAGTTGTCGTTTACTTTTTTCACGTAGATTTTTTAATATCAGTATTATAATGAGTTGTAGTGAAAAAGACGAAAATACCTCTATTAGTATTGTGTAATATAAAAGTAATGACATTTGTGTAATATAGTATAAGTTGGAATGGTATTTATTATGTTAGATAGGTAGTACAATTACTAAATTAGAAAATAGTAACCTTGTTTTTTAAGGGACGAAAATGAAAAATGACAAACAAATATATTACTTTAAATTGAATATTTGATTTTTTTTTACTTTTTGTAATGAGTATTTAAAGAATTTTTTTTTTTTCCTTTTTGACTTTTGTAAATAGTATTTTGTGTTATTTATTACTCTCTCCGTCCAAATTCTTTCTCATAAATTATATTTGCACAATTTTAATTACTTTTTTTTATTATAAATTGACAATTTTATCCTTTGAATTAAAATAGATCAAATAAGATCAAATAAAAATAGTAGATGAATGAAGATAAAAAAAAAAAAAAAAAAAAAAAGTAATCTTTTTGTATAAAAAAATAAGAAAAAATAGGACAATGAACATTCCAAATAGAAAAATATGATATTAATTTGTGAAAGGCAAGTATATTATTTTTGGAATAGCAATTGAAGTGCTAGGAGAACGTAGCGAAAATCTATCAAACTATATAAAATATTACGACAATGTCGAATTATTAAATCGCAATAGAAAAATAGAAAATTATGATCTTAAAAGTACGATTAAAAATATTGGTTATATATTGAACAATGAGAAATCAGTCGAACTAATTATATAAAAGATAGGGGTTTGTTCACTCAGTGTTTTTTAATGTTACTATTCTCATAAATATTATTGAAAAATACAAAACACATAATAACACAACGTATATAATATATAGTTTATGTTATTACAAAAAATCAATAATTCAATATAAAATATTATTTTTTATATTAATAGTATAATTTCTCATACCTAATAAAAAAAAACACATTAATTCAAAAATACAAAGTGAACAAACCCATATATTTAATTATATTGTAAATCATTGAATATTTTTATATTAAATAAAAATATAATATTTTTTGAAACATATAATAATAATAATAATAATAATAAACGTTAGCCATATTAATATATAGACATTTCTTTATATGAAATTGAGTTTGATACACTATATGAAATAGGTTGGAACAAATTAATAAATACTACTCAATTGTGTGTTTTTATAACACACGAAGTGCTGAAAAAGTTGGTTGTGTTTCTTTTTTTTTTTCTTTTTTTTTTTTTGTGGTTTTGTTTAAATAGTTTGTGTAAATATTATTTTTAGTATAATAGTTTGTTCGAAAAAATACTGGATATGTTTCTTTTGATAAATTTAAAAAAAAAAATTAATTTGACTTTGGTATTAAAATAATATATTATAGAATTTTTTGTGAGATAAAACAATTGTTTTTTTTTTTTTTTTTTTCGAAAAAATACCAGAGTCCAAATAATAGAAATCAAGAATTTGGAAGCAAAAGAAACAAACTTATAATTGATTTCAGTTTTAAATTGTAATTTTAATTGAAATGCATAAAACATTCAATATAAATATCACTTACAACACCTTTTTCTATTTGATTTACTATTTACAAAACAATAAATATCAAAACATTTTCTTCGGATTTTTACTGTATAACCATGGCAATTTCAGTAAAAATTTATTTTTAACTTTTTACTGTATCAAGCATATTTTTCTATTACTACTTTTTACTATTTTAAAAAATAAATCAAAAACCCCAAAAGCATATCCACTATGTTCTTACAACGCTATTTTTAAAAAGAATTATACCTTCAATATCATTTTAAAATTTTTAATTTTTAAATTTTGATTAGACTAGTTAGTTATCTTAATGTAATTATTTATATTATACGATAACTAATTTCACTCATACATTCTTAATTATTTTTATTTATTATACCTCTCTTAAATTCTCGTGTCTACAGAGAGAGTAATAAATAACACAAATTTTTTTATAAAAGTAAAAAAAAAAAAAAAAATTCAAATACTAATTACAAAAAAAGTCAAAAAATCAAATATTTAAAATAATAGAGTATATTTTATACTTTTTGACACAATTCTTCATACCACATACCTAAAACCAATTCATCTAAAAATGTGAATACACAGTGTGAATGTGAGTGATTTATTAACTAAGCTTTGTTTATATACACTTTTGGAACTTTTCACACTATTCATTAACCGTAATTTCTTACATTAATATCACACCAAATATCCTTTTACTCTCACAAAAGCATCACATCAAATAATCAACTTTTTACTATTCTAAAAAAAAAAAATCCGATCAAAACAAAAAATCTAAAATTCCAAAACTTCAATCTAAATAAGTCCTAAACTTTCACTACTCCCCTAGTTTTCCATTCCAAATTCTTGTTCATATATTATACACAATATATCTATTGTAGTATTTATATAAACTAAATATATTATGAGGTCTTTCTCTTGTCTACTCGAACCCCTGTGGGACGGGATAGGCCCGGAGGCCTAATTTTTCCTGGTAGGGGAGGTTATGGGCATATAAAATAGTTCCGATAAACATAGTTTCTAAAGTAAATACAAAATCCTACTTTTGAATCTATAATTTAAACTGAAGTTTGTTCATTGCCTGCTTGGTTTTTCTACATTAGAATCATTAACTTCTGAAAATAGTCTAAATTTGAGAATTTTGTGCAGGGAAACAACTGCACTTACTTGTTTGGCCGGGGTTTCGTTGGGATCTATTATGTATTTTCCGGAGAAAAGGCTGGCTTCCGAAGGCCCTGTCTCTTGGTGAACAATAGGAGATCCATCTGTTGAGGAATAAAAACATGTGGTATAAGCCGGAAAGATGTTTGTAGTTTAAAAAACGCAACAAAAACCTCAATATGTGTCGTTGGTATGTTGTAATGCATACAATTTCAGCTTTTTAATATTTAAATAGGTGATGATCCTAGAGTCTCAGGTTTAAGGATAATCCCACCAAAGTTCTATCAACTTAAGAGATTTAAGGCTAAAGAGCACCAAACCCACCTGTGATTTCACGAAATTGCATCAAGTCCTTCGTACTTCTAAAAGTGCGTCAATCTCCCTTGTCGTTTCATAAACTCTGCATCTAACCCCTTAATGGTCCTTATTTAAAGGTGTTTGACCTACACGAGTCTAAACTGTGAATGAATTTCAAAATTTTAATTTCTAAACACCTAAAATTACAAATATATTTATTCCTATTATATTTAACCTTAAAAACCAGCAAATACACTCATAATTAGTTGTTTCTCTCCGGTTTCAAGAGTTTATTTTTACTATTATGTGACACTAAATATAAAAGAAAATGAATATATTAGTAATTTTAAAGGTTTAAAAATCGGTATTCTGAAATTCATTTGCAATTTGAAAGCATTTAGGTCAAACATCGTTAAATAAGAACCGTAGATGAGGTTAGACGCAGAATTTATGAAGCCATGAGGGAATTTGACGCAATTTTAGAAGTATAGGGGATTTGACGCAATTTCGTGAAACCACAGTAAGTTTTGTGCATCTTAGCCACGATTTAATAGTACAATGATAAACATGGCTGCTTACCGGATTGATTGAAAACAAGGCAAGTCCCAATTGTCTCTTCATATTCTCCTATCTGAAATACAAAATGGTTACGTGGATTCGAGTCAGAGAAATTATAAATGAATATGTGCAATCAAATGTCAATTTTCTTTTAACTGTTTCAGGCATTCTAATGGATTTGCCAACAACTTCATCTGATCAGTCGAATTTTAGGGGAGAACATAGCAATGGACCATCAAGCAAAATTTTGTTAGCACAAAGAATCGTCTAGGAAGTATGCATCAGGTGAAAAATCGAATGGATGGATATCGACTCACCAATTTAATTTTGTTATCTATCAGCATAATCGGATTGGGAGTGTCCAGGCCCTGCATAAATCGTTCAAATAATAATCATATTCAGACAACGACAAAACAATGACAATTAACAATGTAATCGATTGTTGATCAAAATCTATGGAAGTGAATTCAAACGTCAATTATCAATGTAATTGATTGTATATCGAAACCTATGGAAGTGAATTCAAACGTGTGAATGTAAGAGAATAAGAGTGGACTGAAATAGTACGTACAGAGAGTTGGTATGGCGCATTGGGAGGAATGCTAATGTGGTCGGAAACGCCATCCAAATCAAGCAAAACGTACTCCTCTTCTTCCTCTTCCTCCACCGCCACGGAGGTGGAATTAGTTCGTGTCTCCAACTCCGAAGCGTCCATATCTTAGGAATCAAAATTATTGGTAGATGACCTGTCGCGCAGTCAATCAAATATTTCACCTAATCCGTGATTACAATTTAATGTAATACAGGGGAAGGGATCGTCTCCACAGGGATTGTGTGATTCACTTTTTCGTATTCTAATGCAGTAAATAAAGGGGGATTTTTCTTTTATTATCTAATTAAAATAAAATAACAAAGCAATTAAATTAAAGGGGAACTGATTATTAAGGGGATGTCTGGCTCAAAGGGTAATGCAGTTATGGCTCTTGTGTTTTATCATAAATTCAATAAAGTTAAAATTCTTATTAAAGTATCAATAAATTGGTTATAGTTACCAACAAGCTCTGACAACCAATTTTTCCTTACAGTGTAGGTAATTAAGGTACGACCGTTAACTACCCCTAATTAAGCAAATAAACCTAGATGCGCCCATTAGAATATTGCCTAACCGCATTCCAATCTAGAAAAATTCAATTCAAAACAATTACTACCTAAGAGAAGCAATTAGATTTGATTGTCTAACCCCCGGGAAGAAACTATTCAACCCGGTTGTCACCTATTCAAGTGCGAATACAATTACGGATATCCTACTTGAATTGACTTTAGATTATCAGACTAATTTAAATATCGGTACCAAAATATTCAATCAATCTAACAATCACAAACGCTATTCTCAAAATTAGACAAATATTGATAATAAAAAAGAACTTTTATAAAGAAAATCAAGAATCTCCAAAACAAAAGAACCAAAATATTATCACCCCTCAAACCACCAGAAAAATGTCTACTCCATAATCAAATAACAAAGAACAAAATAGAAAGATAAAGTCATAGTGGGAGAGGAAAATGTTCTCTGTCGATTTGCTCCTGCGCGGTCTATGAATCTGTCAGTCTCCTGCTCCTGTGCGTTTCTGCCCTAGCCGTTCTCTCCTCCCTAAATAGGCGTGTCTTTTTCTTTCTTATTTGATTTTTGCCCTAATTATTTTGGAGATGGACTTTTGGGCCTTTAATTAATTTTATTTCCTTTTTTTGCCAATTATGCCAAATTTAATATTTGCCCTTTGCCCACAACAAATAAACAATTCGCATATAAATTAGGTAGAATCCAATCAAAATCACCCAAATATCGCATATGATATGAATAGAAAACGCATGCGATTTCTAACTATCAATTCTCTCCACACCTAGATCATGCTTGCCCTCAAGCATAAATTCGAAATAAGCCAAAGAAATTGCAGGCAACTCGATATGACAAGAGAATCCAAAACAACCAATTCAATCTGAATTTTAACACATCAAGCCAAGTCAATCTCACAAGATAAAGTGTATTCTCACATGCTCTCTGAAGGAATTAAGTGTATAATTGGCTCAACACTCAGGTAGTGCAACAAAAGATTATTCTATAGGCTTGAGTGAAAATCAAATCTCCCTTACTTAAGATATTCGAATTTAGCATAGAGAATCAAAGGGACTTTCAACAAGGGTTGTAACGGGGCCTATGGTCAGGGTAGGAAAAAAGACATACAAGAGCTAAAATATGTCAGAAAAGAACACAATAAGAACACGATGCTAGCACATGAAGAACAAATCGGCATAAACAATTAAATCCGTACTCTATTCACTACCCAAACTTTAATAATGAAATTAAATGAAAATACTTTATTAAGATAATTATTTATTTATTTATTTTTGTATTTTTTTTTTTGTTTCTTTTTTTTTTTTTTTTTTTTTATTATTCCTTTTTTTTATTTTTTTTTTGGCTTTTGCCTTTATATATATATATATATATACCTACATAACCCACAGTTATTCCTTCATACTATGACTTATTTGTACCCAAAGTTCGTTTCTAACTACTGCGAAGAAATAAAGTGCATCACAACATGGACTTAAAGTAATTCATTCTAACATATGATTCAAATCGGAGAAGGCTTAATCAAAAGAAGGGTACAAGGGTAAAAGACATGTTATTATAAAAGAAAAATAGGCTAAGAAGGCTCAAATGGGCTAATTAGGGGAATATATTGTGCTGGGTAATAAAGAAAGGCTTAATAGGATACCTAATGCCCTTATCATTTTCAAAATGCAAGACTCGATAGTTGCAAATTCAACATGCATAATCACTCAAGTTCTAGGTCATCTAATTGAGCACTACAAATCACACATGAAAGAAATTTCTAAAAGCTTGAATATATGCAATTTATTTTCTAATGTGACTTTTGGAACATAAGCTCAAATTCTCACAGGGTTCAAACGTCGACTTAACTCAACATATCACCAATCAAATGTCATTAGTCATGCCAAACTAACCTATCACACAAATCACCTTTGACTCACTTCAGACAAATCTAAAAAACATGCAAAATGACAGCAAATCAGGCATAAAAAGTAGCACAAAAAATGAAAAATTTGCCCAAAATTTTGCATAACTCTCCCCACACCTAAAGTATGCATTGTCCGCAAGGTAAAGAAAGCAATAGAAGAAGAGAGGGACTTCCTTGGAGTCCGTAGAGAGTTGTAAAACTGCATTGTGTTATTTGCTTGCCTTGCCAAGGCCTTGTGAGTTGGTGGTGCAGTGGGCTTGAAAAATCTCACGGCTCCTGAAAAACAAACTCACCAACACAGCAAAGTATCCCAAAAGGAGCAAAGAATGTCTGGTTTGTAATTCTACCATGTCAAAACAAAATTGCTCCAAAAGAGTAAGTGCTTGGATTTCTGCCAAATCTCGACAAACCAAATCAATTCAACCGCCTAATGTTCACAACCAGTGAGTAAGTATCAAGGGGTATCACGGGGCTTGGATTCAATCTTAGGTCTCAACAAAGTCAATTCAATTTCATTCCCATCAACTAAGCCAACGTAGACTATAAAAAATCGAGCAAATCAAACAACTAACAACCCATTAACTCAAGCAACCAATTAACCTTATTAACTCAAGACAAATAGTCCATGATCATCGCACCTAAACATTATAAAACACCAATCATAGGAACTGAATTTCAATCTCGATTCCAATTTTAGCAATCGCATAGCCTCAATAAATCCATCTCCAAAAATGGAAAGAATTAGAACAAAGGGATGAAGAAATATTACCCAATTAGAGGATCGGATGCGGTGATAGGAGATGACTGAGCAGGGGAGGAAGAAGTCGAGGGCGACGCGCAAGAGATCGTAGTCTGGCAGAGGACGATCGGCGAAGGGCTCGGCGGCGTCTGGTGGCGTGTGGAATCTGCGGCAGCGTGGAGTCGCAGGGCGTAGGTTCGGTGGAGTAGGGATTTCGCGGCGGGCGTCGTGCCGTGGGAACCTGGAACCGGCGGAGGAGGGGCGGCGCCTGGAGGAGAAGGAGAAGAAGAAGAAGAAGAAGAAGAAGAAGAAGAGGAAGAAGAAGAGGGAGAAGAAGAATAAGAGGAAGAAGATGAACGGCGGAGGCGGAGGGCTTCGGCGCGGCGGAGGGGCGTCTTCTGGCGGAGGGAGGAACCCGCGGCGGGGAGGCTGCGTCTGGTGCGGAAGAAGAAGAAGAAGAACGGAGGCGGAGGCAGAGGGCTTCGGCGCGGCGGAGGGGCGTCTTCTGGCGGAGGGAGAAACCGGCGGCGCGAGGAGGGGAGAAGAGAGAGAGAAAGGGTTTTAATAATTTTTTTTTTTTTGTTTAAGAAAATTGATGTGTCGCCAAGACCTACTAATTAGTTTCAAAAGACCTACACAAAATCAAACAAAATTATCAAAAGTATTATTAGCAATTAAATAAAATAAATAAATAAAATTAAATAAAGCCATTAAATTATTTGGGTTGTCTCTCCCAAAAAGCGCTTTTCTTTATAGTTTTTGAGCTAGACTTCGCCTCGTATCAATTCAGAACATTAAAATCGGCAACGGGTGCTGACTTTATAGGATCAAGTGAGGGTCCCTCGTGGTATGATTTGAAGCGATGTCTGTTGGCCATACACTTTTTCTTCGGCTTAAAATTTTGATTCTCCTTATGACATTTTTTCGTTGCCAGCAATGGTGATCCATTGGGAATCCATCTCCACTTTTCGACAATCTTTTTTCTTTTCTTACTCTCTCCAGTTGATTTTTTCTCTAACTGTTTTATCAACACAGTTCTTCGTTTATTCTCATTACAAACTTCACAAGTTTCCTGCACCACAAAATTAATAACATTAATTGCATATAACGATTCAGATTCAACAGGACATTTGACGGGATTAAAAATATTGAAATGAAATTCTTCTCCATCAAACTCCAAGCTGAGTGTCCCCTTTTTAACATCTATTTTTGTTCCTGCAGTGCACATAAAAGGTTTTCCTAACAAAAGAGGCGGTGGATTAGAGCAGTGCGCATCATGCATATCCAGAATATAAAAATCAACAGGAAAAATCAATTCATTCACTAGAACTAATACATCTTCTATCATACCATCGGGATAAGCATGGGTTCGATCAGCAAGTTGAATAATAATTCCTGTTTCTTTTAGAGGCCCTAGATTTAAAGAGTCGTATATTGATCGAGACATGACATTAATAGCAGCTCCTAGATCTAGCATAGCCTTAGTTATCTCAGTTCTTTCAATCTTACAAGGGATAGAAAACATACCTGGATCACCTGTTTTAGGTGGTACCTTTCTTTTGATAACAACAGAAACGTTCTCACCTGCTATAATGTGCTCGTCCCTTCGCAATTTCCTTTTGTTAGTGCACAGTTCTTTCAAAAACTTCGCGTACTTGGGGATTTGGTTGATAGCCTCCAGGAGCGGGATATTAAGTTCCACCTTTTTGAAGATTTTCATCATCTCTTTTCGTTTGTTCGCCTTTTGTGGTCTTTTTCAACCTATTAGGAAAAGGAGCTGGTTTAGCTTCAGTAGGAGAAACAGAGTTAGAAGGTACCTTTCGTGAAGTTCGGCTCTTTTTCAATCTCCATCTCAATTTGATCTTCATTATGTCCCTTTGAGATAGGAGATGGACCTTCCAATTCCTTTCCGTTACGAAGGGTTATAGCACTTATATTCTTTGGATTAGGCCGGGAGGAACATTCAATCGTCATTCACTGCAAATAGTGATGGCGCTGACATTTGCTGGATTTGGCTCAGGCTGAGCAGGCCAATTTCCTCATTCACGTAGTTGTTTCACCTCCTCTGACACTTGATTGATCTCACCTTGTAATTTGTCAACTGTCGATCTCATCTCTTGTTGGAACTTTTTCGTCTCTTGCTGGAACTATAGGGTAGTGGTAGCCATACACTTCACCAAGTCTTCCAAAGACGGACTGGAGTTGCTTGTGGGTGGTTGGGGCGGCTGTTTCTTATAGAAACGAGGCTGTTGCATCTGCTGCATAGCTCCAAATGGTTGATGAGCATTACTCTGTTGTGCGTTTCCATAGCGCAGGTTTGGATTATCTCTCCAGTCTGGATTGTAGGTGTTGGAGTATGGATTGTACACTGGAGGCCCATTAACACCATAGTTTGCAGCGTTTACATCCACTGCATAGCCTTCTTGAAGGGTTGGACATGCATCCGTAGGGTGGCCTGTACTCGTGCATATTCCTCACGCCTTGACCTGGACACTCGGGTTGAATTTTTCCACGACCATCTTGCGAACAAAGCTCGTCAACTCAGCAAGTTGGTGCTGTATCGATTGGATGGTATGGTCGTTATTGTTTCCGCTCATATGTCCAACATTTCTTGAACCAAATTGTTGCGTGTTTTTAGCCATCCTCGCAATAAGATCCCAAGCTTGTGCCGGCGTCTTATTTACTAAAGCTCCACCACTTGCAGCATCGATGATGTTCCTGTCCATCAATGACAAACCATCATAAAAGTATTGAATCAATAACTGAGGGGAAATTTGATGTTGTGGACATTTAATGATAAGTTTATTGAATCGCTCCCAATATTCATGGAGCGTTTCACCTTATTGTTGCTTGATGCCACATATCTTCTTCCTCAGGATCGCAACTCTGGAAGCTGAAAAGTACTTATCCAAAAATTTCTTTTTCATGTCGTTCCACGTGTCGATGCTTCCAGGTGGGAGATAGTAGAGCCAATCATTTGCAGCATCTTTGAGCGAGAATGGGAAGACTCTGAGTTTGATCTGTTCGTCAGTAACACCTGGTGGTTTCATGCTGGAGCACACCACGTCGAACTCTTGCAAGTGTTTGTGAGGGTCTTCACCTGCAAGTCCATGAAAAGAAGGCAATAAATGAATTAAGCCAGATTTTAGTTCAAAAGCAATAGTGTTATTCAGAGTTGAAAAGTTAATGCATAAGGGCTGTTGCACCAAGTCGGGAGCAACCAACTCCCTTAAAGTGCGGGTATCTTCAGCCATGACAGTTTCTTGATCACTTTCAGAGTCGCTAGAGCTAGAGATTTTGAGGTGGTTTAAAGATTCTGCCAGCTTCGCAACCTGAGCAGCTTTTCGTTGCTTGGCTTCCTTTCGTAGTTTTCGCTCATCCTTCTCGATCTCAAGATTAAATATCAGTTCACTTGTATGAGAAGAACGGGGCATAAACAAAAGGATAAATTAAAATAACACAAAAGAGTAAAACAGAGCGCCAATCCCCGGCAACGACACCAAAAATTGACCTGTCGCACAGTCAATCAAATATTTCACCTAATCCGTGATCACAATTTAATGTAATACAAGGGAAGGGATCGTCTCCACAGGAATTGTGTGATTCAATCTTTCGTATTCTAATGCAGTAAATAAATGATGATTTTTCTTTTATTATCTAATTAAAATAAAATAACAAAACAATTAAATTAAAGGGGAACGGACTATCAAGGGGATGTCTGGCTCAAGGGGTGATGCAGTTATGACACTTGTGTTTTATCATAAATTCAATAAAGTTAATTCTTATTAAAGTATCAATAAATTGGTTATAGTTATCAACAAGCCCTGACAACCAATTTTTCCTTACAGTGTAGGTAATTAAGGTACGATCGTTAACTACCCCTAATTAAGCAAATAAACCTAGGTGCGCCCATAAGAATATTGCCTAACCGCATTCCAATCTAGAAAAACCCAATTCAAAACAATTACTACCTAAGATGAGCAATTAGATTTGATTGTCTAACCCCCGAGAAGGAACTATTCAACCCGGTTGTCACCTATTCAAGTGCGAATACAATTACGGATATCCTACCTGAATTGACTTTAGATTATCAGACTAATTTAAATATCGGTACCAAAATATTCAATCAATCTAACAATCACAAACGCTATTCTCAAAATTAGACAAATATTGATAATCAAAAAGAACTTTTATAAAGAAAATCAAGAATCTCCAAAACAAAAGAACCAAAATATTATCATCCCTCAAACCAGAAAAATGTCTACTTTATAATCAAATAACAAAGAACAAAATAGAAGGATAAAGTCGTAGTGGGAGGGGAAATCTTCTCTGTCGATTTGCTACTGCGCGGTCTGTGAATCTGTCTCTGCCCCTATGCGTTTCTGCGCTAGCCGTTCTCTCCTCCCCAAATAGGTGTGTCTTTTTCTTTCTTATTTGATTTTTGCCGTAATTATTTTGTAGATGGGCTTTTGGGCCTTTAATTAATTTTATTTCATTTTTTCTGCCAATTATGTCAAATTTAATATTTGCCTCTGCACACAGCAAATAAATATTTCGCATATAAATTAGGTAGAATCCAATCAAAATCACCCAAATATCGCATATGATATAAATAGAAAACGCATGCGATTTCTAACTATCAGTAGATTAAATTGCAATCAGAAAACAGTGAACAAGCACAAATTGCAACAAATGCTTGAAACTGAAATATAGTAACAAAACAGCTAAAATATTAAAAAATTCAAAATTGCAGCAAGATTATCATCACTTGTGCTCTTCTATAAATGGAAGATCAACAGTGGAGGAAGGAATGAACTTACAATTTTTCAATGCAGACTTAAGTTGCAGGAGAAGAAGGAGAAGGGACATCGCAATTGAAATTAGCGTCAGGGCAATTTGGGGGCGGAAGGAATGGTGGATTGGATTTTGGGTTATGATTCTCTTGTTTGTTTTTGGACCGAAAAGAAATTTTGAATTTTATAACTAATATTTTATTAATTTTTAAGAATAAAATATTTATTACTTTTGGTAGAATTTAAAAATAATACTCTATTCCTTTTTTACCATTTTCCATATTTTTGTCTCCGTGACTTTTTTTTTTTTTTTAAAGTAAATTTATTACTTTTTAAATATACTCCTTAATAAATACTATAAATAAATTTAATTAAAATTTTTTAATTTTTATCTATCTCCTTAATTAATAAATAGTATAGTATTACTTTTTATTTATATTTATAATTTTTTATTTTTTATAAAATTAATTTTAAATTAATTATAAATAAATAAATATTTATTTATTTGTATTACATAAAATTTTATTATTTACAAAAATAATATCCGATTATATATATTTTATGGAAATATAATGCTAAAATATTTAAAATACCAAAAATTACTACTCATATAAAATATAATAAAATAATATCATAATTTATTATTAATAACTTATTAATTTATGTTATTTGAAATACAGTGTCTCTAACCAAATGAGTCATCTAAGCTGGGAAGGAGCGAGTAATATTTTAATTGTAACAAATAGTTAGAAATAATGTAAAGATAATTTTGCACTCGATGTAGGTAAAAATTGCTTACTTTGTAATAATATATATATATATGTATATTTTGTGAGTGAGCGAGAAAATAATTTTTAGAAAAAGAATACAAAATTTACATATAGAAAAACTTACAAAAAATAATTAAAAAATAATTTCATAGTGTGATTCTTTTAATTTCATTTTTTAAAGAAAGATATTTATCCATCTCAACATAAGTATTTTTTTTTTTTTAATAGTGAGAATATGTAAAATAATTTTGATATATTTACTCAAAAATAGATACTTTTTCTCTCATCAATAAAGTACTATATTACTTTCTACACTTCAAATTGCAAATTATAAGTGTATTTTATATTATTTATTTGTTGTTTATAAAACTTTTTAAGTTGATATATTTTAATACATTGTTAATATATATATATACATATATTATCATAATATAGTAATATATAAAAAGAATAACTATCAAAAGATCATAATAATTTCAAAAAAGAATAAAAAATATGTAATCCAAAACTATTATCTTTCACGTCAAAAAAATATGTTTTAGCAAAAATCATAGGTGTTTCCACGAACTCGCGAAAACATCTTTAATTTTCATTGAGAACAGGTGTTTTATATATATATATATATATACATACAAAATGAACTATTCTGGTGGAAACATAGTATGTTTCTGCAAGGTTATTGAAACAGTCTGTTTTTGCAAAAAAAAATAGTGAATTTTGAATATATTTACAATACCCATAGAAGGTCAAAATTGTTTCTATGTAAGAATTAGTATTGGGGTGCAAATTCAAGTCTTACGTTAGGAGTTATGAGAAAAATTCACACCTTATTATAAGTCCTAAGTGAACTCCACTAGTACGAGGTCTTTCGGAAGATATCCAAAAACAAATCCATACGAGCTCAACCCAAATCGGACAATATCATACTAGTGTTGACTTGACTCTAAGTTGTACTTGATTGACTCTCTCTAGTCTTGTACATGTACTTAAACAAACTTGTACTTCGAAATTAAATCGAGATTTTTTTAATTTTAGCACTGTATTCAGACTGTACGTATATTTCAACAAATTTTCGATAGTACAACGTCATTGTTTATGCCAAGTATAAATGTATATGTAAATATGAAAATTGTAATTATATATAAATATATATGTACCTGTGTTTATAAATATTAGTGAAATATAAATATAAATATATATATATATGTAAATACATATTTATTTGTAATTATTAAAAATAACAAACTAAAATAATAAAAATGAATAGATGGATTTTGAATATATATATATACTTCTATTCTAAATGATTTTTTTTTTTGTCCATCTCATCATAGATGATTATTTTTTATTTATAGTAAATTATCCATAATAAATATATTTAATAAATATAAATTAATTAAATTAAATTCTTAATTTTTTTACATGTAAGATCTATTCAAAAAAATTTATTTTTATATTTCTCTTTAATAAATAAATATTTTTATATATATTTTAAATTTTTTATTTTTATAAAATTAATTAAATTAATTATAAATATATTTTTTATTTATTTATATATAAATTTTTATTTCTTATAAAATAATATTCATATTATATACTAGTGATAAATATTTAAACACATATACAAATTTTCTTTTAATAATATATAAATTCATATTGTTAAAATACAAACAATACTATTCATATAAAAAAAATAATAAAATCATATAAATTTAATATTAATAATTTATTAATTTTACACTATTTAAATAATCATATCCAAAAACAAATGAATTATCTGTTTATGCACCGAGAGAATACTTTTCTTTGTAGATTCGCAAAAAATTTTTTTAAAAATATTGTATTTATTTATTTTTTTATTTCATTAGATTTAGGGGTGTTTGAGAAAGAATTTTTTTAACCGCTTTTAAGCTTAAGTTTATTGAAGAGTTTTTAGTTGTTTGACTAATCAAAAAATTAATTTATATGTTTGATAAATTAGTTTTTTTTTTTTAATGAACTTTTAGGACCCAAAAAACTAATTTATGAAAAGCTAATCAACACAGTGTTTTGGAATAATTTTTAATTATTAAATATAAATCATTTTATTTGTAAAATATATAAATTTATTAAAATTAAATCAAATAGAAAAGATAAATATTTAATTTATTTATATATTTTTTATTATATAAATTTTACATTAAAATTTAATCAACAATAATTATGAAAATAAATATATATACGAAATATTTATTATTTTATATTTTACATATTTTTAATAAAAAATTATTATTGTTTTTAATAAAAATATTTTTTTTTCAAATCTAAAATATAAAAATAAAAATTTTAAAATATTTTTATGATTTTTAATAATTAATACAATTTTTTTTTTTTATAATTTTAAACCAAAATAAATAAAAAATTAAATATTTTTAAAAAAATATATCAATATTCTTAATTATCATTATACGTGTAAATAGCTAATATCAAATAATTTAATACAATCAGCTAATTAAATTAGCTAGTCAAACCAGCCGATTGTCAAACGCACTGTTGATACAAATAAATTGCGATAAGATTACATTACAGCGTAAGCATGACAGGCAGGATCGGAGGAGGACACGTGTCGTTCAGCGCGTTTGTTTTATTTGCAAGGACTTGCCAACGTGTCTAAAAGTCCCTTCTCGTACTTATCCCTTATTAAGAAATAAATAAATAAATACTGAAATTAAACTAATAGAAATTCATTATTAGGGCAGTGAATGAAAAAAATTAAAAGTTGCCAAACATATGGAAGAAGAAAATAGCAAAATAAAAATCGAAACCAAACCCAACACCAATTCCCTCCACATTCTGGTATTTAATTTTAATTTCGATTATTTTGATTACATATATATATATATAATTTTTATTTTATTTTATTTTATTTATTTTAGAATTTAAATTTAATTTATAATCAATGAACAGGAAAAAGGAGACATATTCTTCTTTTACAGACCAAAAGTGGCGAAAGAAGCAGCACATGGAGAATCAGACGTACAGCAATTCTACCTCTTTCTGCGTCCCCAAAATTCCGGCGGCGGCGATGGCAGCTCCGACGGCGGCGCGCAACCGCAGGCGGCGGCGGTTCGGTATATAATAATGGGTCGGAAAAGGCTGCCGGAGGAGAGTGAGAGGAGGCCATTTTGGGGATTCGTACAAATGGTCACAAAACAAATACAACACTTGAAGGATGCACTCAAAGGAGGTCACTTTTTATTTTCACTCAATATTTATAATATTTTTTTTTTCTCTTAAATTAATAATATTATTTTATTAATTTATTTTTATATTTAATGCATTCCAATTAAAAATAAAATTTTCATGCACAACAATGGATTATAAAACATTTTTCAATTTAAAATTTTGTAGAATTCCTAACAATTATAAGTAAAAATTGAAATGAGAGCAAAACCTTGGTATAGTCTTCCTTCTACAATATATGAAATATTAAAATCGAATTTAATTTTTTGTGAAAATAAATAATCTATTTTTATTAGGATTCCTAACAAATTATATAGTAAAAATTGAAATCAAATTTTAGGAGAGCAAAACAATTATATAGTAAAACTTGAAATCAAATTTTATGAGACCAAAGCTTTGGTATAGTCTTTGTTCGTACTCCACCGTCCAATTTTTATTGTCCTAAAATATATTTGCACTGTTTTTTAAGGTGATTGTCTTTTTTGCTAAGATTTGACAAATTTGTCCTTAATTGTATGGTATGGTGGTATGGTAGATGTAGAGATTAAAAGTAATAAATGAATGAAGGGGTAAAAATGCAAAATTTGTGTTTAAAATAGGACAATAGTTGTTAGACGTAACATTAGTTTGTGGACGGAGGGAGTATATGAAATGCAACGTGAGTTTACTAGTGCGCATTTTCGGGTAGCGGCTGCGGATTTTCACTGTCATTAAAAAAAAAATTAAAAAAAAAATTAAGTACAGATGGCATTAACTAGCTAATATTATGGCTGGTGAAATTTAATAAATTTTCATAATGTCGGTAGTAACAAAAAAATAAAAAATAAAAAATTAGATACATGAACTTTAGGGCGTCAGTTAATAAATTTTATCCTAATATCATTAATAACGGAAAAAGTGAATATAGGTATATGAACTGGTTAAATTTAGTATTAATACCATTAGTAACGTGAAAAGTAAATTTAGATTAAAGTTGGGCGAAATTTAATAAATTTTATCCTTAGTGTCATTCCAACGGAAAAAGTGAATATAGGTACATGAACTTTAGGGCGAAATTTTTAATAAATTTTATCTTTAATGTCATTAGTAACGGCAAAAATAAAATTAGAAATAAAAAAATTTTATTACAAAAATGCTATTTTTTTTTTAAAAAAAAAAAACATACGGTACATAACAAAAATGTTATTTTTCTTTTAGAAATATACGAGACAACGACGAAAGGACAACGGCATTTACCCGATGCAAGAGCGGCCGGGGAAGGCGTGTATTCGATCCTTAGTCACAACCGGGGAAGCAACCAAACACACACTCATTTAGTGTACAAGTTAGAGTTTCCGGTCGAGGGCAATGTAGAGGGCTCGGGGCCGCAAGAAGCCTTAAACATAGCACGCGAGGCGTCGTTTATAATCCAAATAAAGAATCCCGACCATCACGTGCAAAGTGGATTTAGAGGACTAGACAAAAAAAGAAAGGCCGTATATCCGGCGCGGCTTCAAGGGATTTTTGGGCATCGGCGATATCACCCGGCCGATCCTCCGGATTTCCTCGACTATGAAGGTTGCGAGTTTCTTTTGATATCGGCGTCCGATGATTTAGAACAAGAGCTTGGTTTGGAGATTGGGTCGGAGGGCGCCGGAGAGTGCTCCGATCTTGTGAATATGCTCGGGGAATCTACGGTAGCGACGCAACCGTTGTTTGAGGGTACTTGGATATGATTTTGGAACCGATGTATAGCTTGATCTAACGGTTAAGTATATCTGGTACTTGAACTTAAGTGGCATGGTAAACTATGTGAATGTTAGGACTTTTGTTTTGTTAAGTTTTTGGAAGCCTTGTTTTGAGTGTGTTACAATAGTTTCAAGCTAATTTAGGGTGTGATTTGTGGTTAAATAATACTTTCTTCGTCCGATTTTAAATATCTCATTTATTTTTATATTATTGTACTTAATATTAAAAATATTTTTATAATTGTATAATTTTTTGCACAAATATTATTATAATAGTATTATAAAACACTAATAGAAGTATTTTTATCATTTTTTTTAATTTGTATTATATTTTTACATAAATAAAAGTGTTTGTTTGGGGGTTTGGATTTTGAGTTGTGATTTGAATAGTAAAATTTTTGGATTTGAATAGATGTAAGATGTGGTATAAATAGGTGTTGATGTGATGTTTTGAATGTAAAATTGATTTTTATAAATATAAAAAATAAAAAATAGGTGTTTGATTTGATATTTTGGGGGGAAAAATGGATGAATAATGTATTTAAAATAAAATTGATTTTTATAAATATAAACAATAAAAAATAGGTGTTTGATTTGATATTTTGGGGGGAAAAAATAGATGAATAATGTATTTAAAATCCAATCTACCAAACAAAAACACCCATAAAAGAATTTTATTTTTTCATTAAAAAAATATTATATTTTATATTTTATAGGTTTCGTATGTAAATTTAAATTTAGTTTTAAGTGAAGTATTTTGTGTATTTTTGTTATTTTTGGGTGCTGGTATAATTTTATTTTATTTTTCTGAGATGATATACTCCCTCAATCCTAACAATATATCTGTTTTTCTATTTTTGTTCGTCCCATAACAAAATATCCATTTCTTTTTTAATAAGTGTATTATCCACCTAACATTATAAATACCTTTCAAATTTATAATATATTACACAAATATCATTACATTTATATCATACAATATTAATAAGGGTAATTTAGTATTTGTACTTTTATTCTATTACATCCCAATATAATACTAATATTTATAAAATTCCGTGCAAAAAGTAAATAGATAGATACATATGGGACGGAGGGAGTATAATTTTATTTTTAGAAAGTGATATATAATTTTATTTTATTTTAAATGATATATTATAATTTTATTTGAAAAATAATACTATATAATTTATTTTTTTAAAGGTGATATATAATTTTATAAATAAAATATAAATTATATATTTTTTAGTAATAATGTAAAAATAAATTAAAATTATAATGAAAAATTATACAAAATAATATAAAAGAGAAATATATAAAAAATATATTTTTAGAGTAAAAATTAAAGTTTGTAGTTAAAATTACTGTAAATCAATTGTACGTAAAAATAAAGTACTGGTTGGAGATGTTCTTAGGTATTAGTTGTTAAGATTGACCAAGCCTCTACAAATTCTCTTTTGTTGGACTTTCTTCAAAAAAAAATTTAGATTTGAAGAAATTAGTTGAATAGCATTAGGCATTAATTGTATTAGGACTAACCAACCATATAGGAATTCTTCTTTTTGAATTTTTTTAAAAAAATAATTATATTAGTGGAATTTACGTGAAAATTATTTTTTTTTTTCAAATTTTTTAACGTAGAATTTGGGTTTGTAGTTCAATAATTCCTCTTAAAACAAAAATCATAAAACTTTGGATTTGCACCCCAATGCTGCCATTAATTGTTGCAACTGAATATGATATTGTCTGTTTTAGACTGAGCGTATACAAGTTCGTTTTTAGATTTTTTTTTTCAAAAACTCTTATATTATTAGAATTTACAGGAAACTTATAAAGTATAATTTTTTCTTTAAATCTTTAAATATGAGATTTCGATTTCCACTCCCAATATATTATGGTTGTAAAAAACCATTGTTGAATATTATTGAAATATCACTAGAGGATAAACCCATCGGTTATTTCTTTTATCGGTTCAAGTCTTCAAGAAAACATTGTTGGCCCCAAACTCAGGTTCCAAAAGTATTTTTTTTTTAAATCACATTTTATAAATTTCACATTAAATTTAGTATAAGACAATATCATATTAATGTTAAATTGGCCTAAATAATAGTATTTTGTAAAAAAGTAATATAGTTTTTTAAAAACTATGCATTATAAATAATATCGACTTTTATTTGAAATCATAACTAGTTGCATCTTTAGAGTTGAAAATTTTCAAAGTAGTAAAAAAAAACTAACATTGAATAGATGTATTTGATATAATATAAGCATTTTGAAAAAAATAATTATTAATAAATAGTGAAATAATAATAATAATAATAAAAAGAACTGCGTTGAAAATTAAAATAATTCACCAATCAACTGTTTTATCTTAAGCTACAAAAATTTCAGATGGGGAAAAAAGGAAATAGCTTTTGAACCCATCTCTTTCTGCAGTTCGAAGTATATAAATATACGAAAAAGGCCTCAGTGACAAAAATTCTATTAAAAAAAAAAAAACAAGACAACGAAAAAAGATATATAAAGATCTTTCTGAAATATAATCGAACATCGGCAATACCCATATTCCATGTATGAACATCCAACCTAGCCTCAAGAAAACACTCACATCAACAGCCTGCCGAGCTGCATGGTGAAAAGTTCGCCAAGCGCTCCTCGAATTTCCATCTGAAATGGCACCAAGTGTCATTATAATTCTCGAAGTAGGACAAAATATACCATGATGTCTTATAAAGTTTAGTTTCAACCTCCCATTATCATTTCCACCCCACCACACCTCCCACCAAAAAAAAAATATATATATGTCAAACAGTGGAATAATCAATTTTACATTCAAAATATTATATTATACATTTATATCATACCAAAAAAATTTCAAATTTTTATCAAATTGTGCAGAATGATCTAGCAACCTCAATGATGATAGGTATACGTAAACATATAACACTGAAATGATTCTTCGACAAAGAGATGAAATTCATTCGTAGTTAGTTACCTGTTGGCAGCAGACGAGTTTCGCAATGAAAGGATAAAAATTCGTAATATGGTTTTTGAAGACTTCGGGTTTCATTTGGCACATACCTTTCAGCACCTGGCGGATCAAAAATCGAGCTTAGGTCAAAATTAACTCATTCAATGAAGCAAAGAAGTTTCCGATCTAAATTTTTTTCTGATACAATATGTGATAGTCGAAAACTCCCAACAAAAAGAAGCTTTTTTTTTACCATGCAACAGTCACGATTTTTATAAAAATGTACTATTTCATCTCATAGAACAAATTAAAAATATATATATGCTAAACTCCAAAAAAAACACATTTTGTTGGTTGGGTTTTCTTGCTAATTTTTTTCCCATGTAATCACACAATTCAACAAAAATATATCTATTTTTCATAAAGAATAATCACATCCAACAACTATTTTACCTAAAAACACGAAAAATAATAATATAAAAAAAAGGCCTATGTTTATGTATGAAATAAGAATATATATGTTTAAGTAAATTTAATTTCATAGATCTTCTTTATACTAATGCATCAAATACCCCTACATTTATGTATGAAATCCTAACCAAAAAGAGCTTTTAGGCATACTTTTGCTAATACGAACATAAATTATGCAATAAAATTTACACAATGTAACATTTAACTATTATGCGCAAAATTTTAAAAAAGTTTGAGAGACGATGAATCTTACCTTAGCAATTATGGGAGATCGAAGCTCCAAAACTTGATGAACACTCGTATCAGTCATCTCCCTTACGCTAGATTGAAAAGCAGCTGCCTCTCTTAGGACATGTTCACAAAAAGAAACGAGTTTTTCTTCAGCAAGTCCTTCGAATTTATCATTTTCTGCTGCTGTTGTCTTCTGCAGAATGTCCAGATATATGCATGTTCCGAGCAACTCCAGGCGCAGAAGATTCAGGGGTGGTCTGACAAGACAAAGATTCTTTTATTACATAGGAAATGACTCAGCCATGGAAACAACTTAAGCACAAGCTTGACAAAAACCTTTCGCCAGGAATTCGCTGCATGCGCAATGTGAGATTGGCGTATGAGTTGTATGAGGCAGCAAACTCCAGCACAGAAAACAGTATCTCCATCATGGTGATTCTGTTTTCGGGACTCAACTTGCTCCAGAATTGTTTCTGCAAGTTTACAAATAACCGGCAGACATCATGTATTATTTTCATTGTCAGTAAATGTTGTGTCGGAATTTTAAATAAAATGGCGATGAAGAAAATAATTCAAAATCCTTTCATGAATTGTTCTCACTTGATTTTCGGATTCCAAAAAACTTACAATTTAGGGATGCATGTATTTTAAGTCCTCGTTATTATTTTGATTCTTTAAATTAGTTCTATACAGAAATAGTCACATATCTAATCTTAGTCGTTAAAAAGCTCTAGTACAGAAAAGATTGTCACATGTGCTGATATGATACTTCCGCATTAACATGGACTAACCATATGACAATTTATATAACTAAATGGATTTAATTTTTTAAATAAACATACAAATAATAAAGTTTGAATAAATATACAAACTTAAATATCAATACACTCGGCAATATTCTGGTTGCAATGAATTTTTCAATGATTGCGAATTAGATATAGAACTATTTTTATAAAATGATCAAAACGATAAACGGTGTCAGACTAATAAAATATTTATCACTACAAATTATAAACAGTTGATCGTAAACCACATTGGAAAACATCCTTTCGAGAATCAAGCAATCAAGAAAGCAGTCATTCATACCTGAGTTCTATTGATGACACCGAGAAGTAACAGCTGCGCCATGCATTTCGCCCTTATGGTTCTCTGGATCAAGCTTCCGTCCTCTCCTATTGTCTCTAGATCCTTATTAGAATCAACAAACTTAAAAGACAAAAGAATTAAGATTTCTGTAAGAGTTCAAATTTTCAACTAAGGGTGTGTTTGTTTGAGGGATTGGATTTAAATATACACTATTCATTCCATTTTCCCCCCCCCCCAAAAACATCAAATCAAACACCTATTTTTCATTTTTTATATTATACTAAAAATCAATTTTACATTCAAAACATCACATCAACACTTATTTATATCACATCATACAACTATTCAAATTCAAAATTTTTACTATTCAAATCCCAACTCAAAATCCAAACCCCCAAACTAACACACCCTTAAGTGTGTCTAAACAACACAAGAAGCAGTGGACCAAATAAGATAACATAAGTTAGTTTAAGGATCAAGCCTATTTAAGTACCAAACAAAAAATTTCCTTTCGTATACTTATTTTGCAAAACTTTTAACTCTATATATTTGCAGAAGTATTGTATTGAGCACTGACCTCGGGTGAATGCGTCGCCATTGCATCATATGCAAGATCATCTTCTTTCATCGTAAAACTTCTTGCGAACTGATCCTTCTTCGCATTTCCATAGAACATTTGTCCTAACGTTTTACTGCGCTGAAGACTCTCCCCATCGGCAGTTCTTGTAGCTGTTCGAGAAGGAGATTGTGTGCCTGCAGAAAAGGATATCACTCTTTGAAGACTTTGAATTTAGATTTAGCTAATTCCATCGTGGCAATTTGCAAACCAACCTTCAGATTCTTCTGTATGAGTGATTGTTTGATCGGAATGAAGTACATTTTCATCAACACTGTTCTTCGATGAAGCTGCATCTGATTTCTTCTTGTTCTCAAACTCCATTTCGGTGAGAAGCTCGTGGGGTTGGTTTGTGTACGAAGCATCCCTGATTAAAAATCAATCAGCAAAATAGTTCATCCTCGAAATAAAGCTCAGAGAGAGAGACACACCTTATAGTCTTTAATAATGTATTCCAGTCATCGTCATCAAACTGGTGCCCAACAACTTCGATAAGGTGAGCTAATGCAGTCAAAGAAACTGAAACTACCACTTTATCTGATTTCTTAGAACAATCCAACAGTAAGCCGAGCAACGGGGACAGCATAAAGGACACTTCCTGCGTAAATGAGAAACAGTCTATATATGAATTATTGAAAAACAACAAAAAATGGTAACAATCTCACTAAAGGATTTACAAATGCATTCACATACTGTAACTAATCAGCTTAGGAACTCAACACTGAATCAAAATATGATAGTAATACAACAAAAGTCACGAACAACGGCTAGGCCTAGATACCTTGTAAAAATTGCCGAAGAGGTTGCATAGCAGCTTTAGTGCATGAATGTAGCTTTCACGGGGCCACTCGTCTCCGGGATATGTATAACTTTCGTTTTGAGCATGTCTAACACAGTCAAATATGGGAAAGAGTATTTGCCGGAAAATTTTCTCCCAAAAAGAAGGTGAAAATGTACTGCCTCTCCTGCTCATCAGATCAAACAGAACCTCGATTGCACTATTTCTTATCTCTGAACTCCGATTAGATGTCAGACCAGAAAGACCAGCTAGCATTGGGAACCAATATTGCTCGGCAACACCGGAAGCTTCATCTGAGTTGTGTTTCAAAGGACCACCTTGTACTAGGCTCTGAACATAAGGAAAACGACAAGAAGATTAACAAATTAACATCCTAAACTCTCTCCTATCTGTGCAATAGTGGAAATTTTATTGACGGAGGCTAGGTTAAATGTCAAGAAATTAGAGCAAGACGATAAGAAAAGATAAAGACTTAGGTAAAAATATATATAATCTTAAAATGAAGAGATGTGTAACACCAGAGGACAAACCTCAGCAAAACGATCAGCACAAATGTGAAGAAGGGCCACAGCTTTCAAGCTTACACCTCGAGAGGCTTTATTATTGGCAAAATCCATGAGGCAGTTCACACAATCCATAAAGCAATGTCCCATAAACCGATCAAAGTGTTCTAAGATGACTGCATTATAACTTGAAGTCAGGTATGAGTTTTATATATCTTTCATGTAACATATAGTAATTTAAAAGAGTTTTTCATTCAAACCTTGTTCCACATTCTCGAACGCCAATTCGACTATGGGTTCAACCTTGTCGGCAGCAGCATTGGAGAAAATCATGAAGACACTGTGCCAGCCAGATCTTATACATCCAGCCATTGATCTTACTATCTGTTGATAAAAAATAGAATATGTTATGCTAAAACACCCGCAATCGAACCACGAAAGACTGCACACATACTTGAATGCTGCTATCCAATATAAGCCTCCGTATGGTTTTTCTATTGCTTCTTTGCAAGATAACAAGTGGTTTCAAAACGCCATTCTGGAATGTGAAGTTTGCAGGCTCGTCACGCTCCAAATATTTCATGACAAGCTTCTGTAGAGAATCTATTGAAAAAAACGCGACGTTTTCATCAGCATGGCTCCCAGCAAAGACAAAATGTTGGACGAGGATCGTCCAAATTCTAGCCCAAACCTGAAAATCGAATGAATGGAACTATAACAAAATGACTGAGCAGAAAATGACAGCTTGGCATTTTTTATATGATTTAAGACAACTTGACATAGGCCAACATATAAGCATAAAATAACCTTTATTGTGAAATTGAAATTCAAGAAAACCTATAGCACCATAGCAAGCATCAGAACTGAATCAGGAGTAAGATGAAGATACTATACCATGCGTATGCGAGCCATATTGTAATAGCTAACTTCAACAATCTTCCTCAAGCTAAACGTACGAGGTGGATTCTGTTTTAATTCTTCCGCTGAAACACTACATAAAGCAGCGAAAAACTCCACCACAGATTCACTGGGCAATTTGATGCTGTTTAAGAATAGTTGTTCGGTTGGTCTTCCCGAAAGCTCTCTGAGGGACTGGAGAACGACATCTCTAGCAACTTGATTTGAACCTTGCATGACCATTGCATTCATAACAGGATGTGACACAAAATATTCAAGCCGGGATATGCATTCCAGAACAGCCAACCAAGATCCTTGGAGAGCGCATATGTCAGCATTACATAGTGCAAGAAGGGCTCGTAGTGCTTCTACATTTTTTCCACGCATGTCTTTAGGTGCATGTAAGGAGTTGTATCTGCACAAGCACACATTGTATTCATATATATATGTATATATATATTGCGTACTTATTCAAACATAAAGAAAAATATATATGTGTTGTTTCCCATCCTTAAATAGAAGAGAACGATATATCTTAGTTACACTGGAGCTTAGAAGTCAATAATCGTCGTAAGAATGCTAAGAAGTCTATAATCGTTCCATGTAATAGAAAAAATTCGAGCATAAGCAATAGAAAATAAGCAAGGTTGTGTTTGGTCGGGGTTTTCCCCAATTTTTTGCTCCAAAACCATCATATCAAACTAATACTTTTCAGGTTTTATATTATACTAGAAATTAACTTTACATTCAAAATACCATCACTACCTATTTATATCACATTAAACAACTATTCAAATTTAAAATATTTACCATTGAAAACCCAAAGACAACATAACCGCCAACCAAACACACCCAAAGATATTTAGAAAAGGAGAATCACCTCAACAAAGAAGTCAAAAATGCATAGCGCATGGTATCCATTCCGAGATCGTTAGTGATGTGTATAGCTTCTTTGAATCCCTCCATGCAAATAGTAAATCTTGGTACATTGTCGACTTCACTCATGATAACAGCAGACATAGCCAGTAATGACCATCCTACAGGCTCGACCATAGGACATAAGAGTTCAATGCTGTGTGAAGTATAAAACACACCCTTATTTCCACCTTCAGCTTTAACCAGCGCCTGTATTTGCTTGATCATTGCCTCACTTTCAGATTCAGACCTCACACCAGTGGATGAGCTAGTTTTAGGTAGAGACAGGTTAAGAATATTAATGAGATTACTTCCATTAGCAATACAATCCAATGTTATTGCTTCTTTAACGACTGAATCGTAGATCTCCTCTATGAGCTCTCGAGGAGCAGACTCTTCATCATCACCAGTGGCATTGATATTTATAAAACCACTCTTAGACATTTTTGGTTGCATCATTGGATTGTGAGCATCAGCATTCAGCATTATAATTGCATACGCTAGGACATAAGCTGCATCAGCATTCTTGAATAGACCGGGATTTTCTTCACAGTATCTGGAAAGGATAACAGAACTTCCTTACATTAATATGCTAGCCTTACTTGATTAAGTTTCATGGTCCTAAGCCTATCAAATGCTGTACACATTTAGCTTTCACGAAAAGAAAATTGTTCAATTCTAGACCAAATATACGTAAATGTTTTGCCTATGAAACTTGGAATACATACCGAGCTGTAAACTTTTCAATTATGCGGTCAAACTTCAGAGCTTCAGCAAGAGGTTGAAAGCCCTTAAAGAATTCATGCATTGCAATATCAAATCTCATTCCAGAAAAGCTCAAGAAATCTACGTAAGCATTCATAACAGCAGTAGGGAACTCCTCTGGTTGTCCCAAGTATTCCCCAATCATAGCCTGGACATCAAAATACAATAGATGATTAGTTTGATTGGCAACCACATATCCTAAGACACAAGGCTACCATGTGTACCTTGTCCAAATTGGGAGTATTTTGAAGAAACTGAGCAACAGAAGCAGGACTGTTCTCCACCAATTGGCTGGATATCAAATATTGTATGCCCTTTCCCGGGTGCCGATTAAACTGTTCATGTGGAGATGTATAAGACTAGAGATTCTCTTAAATAGTTTAAAAATAATACTTAGTAAAACGAAAATGAAACTTGGTTTCTGGGATTGCACACCATAGGACAGATACAAAAGGTTAGCAAAACCACAAACCTCAGAAATAACAGCTTCAATAGTGATCTTCTCAGCCTGCAACCTCCCAACATCATCAGGTGAATCTTCCCTGTATTTTGATTCTGTAAATTGTCTTGGCGAAACTTCTCCTTCAAAAGATTCCCTCCTGTTAAGTTTGCTTTTGGACTTCCTAGTATACTTTTCCCATATCCCCAGTGACTTAAGTATATTCACTAGACCCTAGAGCATTAAGTATATGTGTGAATATCCCATTTTTGTTGTATAAGATAGCAGAACGAAAAAAGTTCTAACAGAATGGGAAGAACACCTCTAGTGATGACATTTTAATTGAAGCAGTTAGCGAAGCATTTGAAGACTTTGGATCCACATTTTGTGTAGCTTGAGCAAGTTTGGATAATGTGGCAACCTGAACAAGAATGGATCATATATTAATGGCATTAAGTGCATGTCATTGAGTAAAGATTTCAATAATCAAAACCCCATACCATTCGATCATACAGTTTTGGTGCTTCAGGATCACAATCATAGTTTATATAAAGATCAATGAGCGCCTGAGGATCCTTGAAGACCTTTTCCATGACCCTGCTAATTTGATTAGGTTAGAGGAATACACAAATAAATAGTTGACATTGCATTAAAAGCTTGAAAGCATACCGAAGAACACTTTGTTTTCGTATTAGATCTGATCCATCCAAAGATCTTAAAACAATCAAAGGGAAAAGGAATCCAATCTCAGCCTGGAAAGGATTAATGCATTCAGCTTGAAGAAGCAAATGAATCACACTTTTTATATATGTAAGATTACAAATTTTGTATTTGAATTACATTTACCTTGAAACTTTGCCTAAAGTGTAGCAAAATAACTGAGAAAATTCCTGACCCATACTGCCACAGCATACAATATAAACTATTAGAAGCATGACAATAACAAATCTAAAAATATCAAATACAGCTCATGTACTCAATAACCTGAAATAAGATAGGGGATTGGGACACTGATGCTCGTAATAGTGCATATGAAAGGTGAGCTCTCATTGAGTCAATAAATTGAATATTCTCGGCGAACAAATGGCCAATATCTTCCAATAAAACCTGCATACAGAAAGGTGAAACTATGTGAACCAAAGACTTGTAAATGAAGGAGTCACAAAGATTCAAACAGGGAATTAATTTGCTATGTATTTTGATTTTCCTATTCAACAAACTGTAACTGTCCTGTTTTCATCAATCATCACACAAAATGTACACAGGATAGCAAACCTAACTCACGAAGAACAAGTTCGAGTAATTAGGAAACATGTTATTGCTAGTAGAATTTGGTGTGGTGAATCAAGAAGCAAAACCATGCTGAAACTGAGAAGTAGAATCTAACAAGAAAAAAGATCGAGATGTGGGAATTTCAAAAGGCACCAGAAGCCTTGTTTGCACTTTTAAAATCCCAAACCATACATAAATCAAGGGATCACAATCAGCAGATATTCAATAGTCTTCCTTGCCAGGAAATACGAAACAACAAATAAGATAAGTTTTGCTATGCTCCCAGCCAATATAAATTACAAATTCAAATACCAAAAGCTGACCTGAAGAACCTCCAATAACAAACTCTGCATTTTGACAGTAACAGCATCATTTCCCGTTATCATACCCACCTGCCAAAATATCGTAGTATTAAATTAAACTAATTGCACATGAGAGCTTAGAATGAGAACCTAAAAAAGATAGTATATATACAAACCTTACAAAGCATATGGAAAACACGTAAGGCATCATGTTGCTCAACACTCATGCCCTCTGGACCATTTTTTCTGAAATAGATTAACAATTTATGGAAAAAGATATACATATAACTAGAATTGAGATGCAGTGGCAGACTTTATTGGATAACGGAAGTAATTCCAAAGTTTTCATCATGCATTCCCTTGAACAAGACTGCATTCAGAGAGAACTAACTCAACTAGAAAATAGCAAGTTAAGTATTGTCCCAGTACTTTCCCTAGGTTCTGCTGTCTTCTATGATATATTTCTACTATGTTGTTGTTAATAAACTAAATTGTCTCTCCAAAAAAAAGAGTATTGTCTCAATACCTTAAATCAGCTTCTTCATCTTCGAGGTTCACAGCCTTCCTAAGAATGGCTTCTAAGTCCTACAGAAAATCTTATTAACAAAATTTGCAACTAGCATAGGAACATTTTAGCGAAGCTAACGATGGCAATATAATATTGTTGTGAAAGGATGCAAATCGAAGTAAAAATGAACATATGTCATAACAACAATGCACCTTAATATCAGCACCACCAACGAGAGTCTTAGTTCCTTCAGAAGCTGCATAAAATGTCTTGCACCTTTGCTTCACAAATACCAAATTGTCCAAAGTACTGCATGGCTCATTATGATCCTCAGTTGATGCTTCGATCATTGAGTTTGAACCATCATCAGAATGAGCTTCTTTGGGTACAAAAGAAGTTGAAGATACCTGAATAAAACCGTAATCACTCATGAACATCAGTACTCTCAATCAATATAGCTATGGACAAGAAGGGGAAGATTATAGGAATTTATTACATACCAAATCAGTTTCCAATCGTCTAAATATGATTTGAAGCACTTGTATTAACATGGCCTTTGAGGATGCTTGGATTATAGGATTCTTTCTATGCAATCAAATTAGCAAAAGTGTTAAATGATGCATGAATCAACCAAACACTTCAAATGAAAAGGAGTACCTATTAAGAGCTACAGTAGAGCAAGCTCTGACGATTCCCAGAAGTGGTTCATTATGTACTGCATGAAAACAGTCATGAAATTGCATAAATAAGGAAGGACTATATCATCATAGTCATAGAATGCTTGATTTTCTTGAGATAGGTCTAAAATCCGAAAAATATCTGTTGTCCATAGGAAATTGGGGATGATGGTAAACTGGGTGTAAAGTTTAGAGTTGTTAATGACTAATATGCGTATATGTCTAGAACATTGTGATCAATTTTTATAATAATAATAAGTGCCGAGTCGAAAACATAAATCTGTTAATTGAAGAAACTTGAATGAGATTTGGACAGTGTTGAACCAATTAAAACAGCATACCTCTCAATTTGTCGGAAGCTACAGCAGTAAGAAGCACTTTCAATGTTGGAAGTATGATGCTGCATTTAATTTCCTCAAGATTAACTGTCCGAAATTCCAAACAATTAGAACATCATTCTCAATATGGCAATACATACCTGTCCGGGGCTGAATTGTCTGTATAAGTGCAGACCATTATCAGGATTTCACTTAATGCTTGCGAATTTTTACCACCTTCAAGACCTGGATCACCCTCCAGATGATTGTACTCTATCAGTTTCTGTATTGAGAAAAGAGAATTAAATGAAACCTAAGCAAAAATTGGCTCCACAACTGAAGAAGCAATAGAATTACAAAGGTTGTGATATCTACAAAAGAAAAGATATTACATATAGCAATAGCATGCAATAGAAAGGAAAACAGCACAAATTGACTGGGAAAATGTGAGAAAGCTGTATCAGCTGCATGTCAACTTTCAGATTGTGAAGTTTCAATTTTTGTATCTACTTTGGTGAGGGAAATCTTCTATAAATAAAGCACTAATGATCAAACAAAGAACATACTTGAAGACAATCCAATGCAAGTTCCCCAACTTTTATGTTCTTTATTTGAAAGGCAAGTCTAAGTGGGTTCAGAGCAAGTTCAGCCTCAGCTTCAGCAATACTTCCTCCACTGTTTGTAGACAGGCTTGACGATTCCATCTCTTCCTTTTCAGCTCTGGATTCATACTCGGGGGCGCTGAAAGAATTCATGTCACAAATTTGAAAGCACTTTTCAGCAGAGATAGAGAAAGCATTGCAAAATAGAAATAAAAATTAAATATATATAAATAAAACATAGTACACTTCAATCTATCGAGAATTCTAGTTTCTTTTAGTTGGGGTTATACAAATAAATAAATAAATAAAAATCATAGAATGACTCCTTAGCCCAGAACCAAAATATTGATCAACAGGAAAATCAAATAACACTGAGTATGCTTGGATTGACCTATAAATTATGTTGGCCAAAGATCTAGAGCCTAATTTATTACCAATAGATATGTTAGGGCTACAATTGGATTGAAGATGCTTGATTTACAATCACAATCTTGAGACAAGAATATGTAATGACTGTAAATTGATGAATTTAAAATACATTCAACTAACTCAAACTGCAGTTCAAATGAGAGTAGTAGGATCTGAATTAAATACATTGTCTAATCAAACATTTAAACTTAGGTGACATTTTTATTCCCGCAAGTGAGGCCTCATTTTAAGGAAGGTTACTCAGTGTACATAGCTTCTACCGTTTAAGTTATGAAAACAATGTAATCCTGACAGGAAAGTGCATGTAAAGTGAAGACAAAAGAGAAAACAATACCCAGAGACAAGTTGTGTGATGGTAGTTTCCACAAGAACCAAACTTAAAAGTTATTGTAATCAGAACACCTTTAATTTGAGTTACCCGTAAAACTTACTTAGTCTCACCAATGTCTAAATGCTGATTGAAGTCCTTTCCACTCTCTGAGCATCAAAGCACATTAACCAATATACATTAATTTCTGAGGTGCCAATTTGCATTATTAAAACTAAAATAAGAATACATAATAATACAAAAAGAGGATAAACAAGTTAACTACTTAAAGCATCAATAGTCACAAGAAGAACCTATTGAATGATGAATTATAGATTATCATGCAAAAAACACCACTTATGTGGGCACGAGCTAAATTTTCCTTACATTTGTATAATATATACATATATATTCAGCTATTTGGCAAAGACCATAGACAATCATACATAGTATAAATAGGACCTCTATAAATACTAGTTGCATGGTTATGGAGAGTAATCTTCTTCTCCACTAGGAGCGTGTGCTTGTTAGCCTGAATTAATATTTGGGCTAATGCACTACTTTGTCTTTGACTTGGAACCTCAATGCTTTAAATTTGCCAAGCTATGGCTATAAAGCACTCACAACATCATTGTGACCTAATCACCAAACTCAATCTGTGGAAGCAACATATAAGTCATGAAGGTGTACTACTAGCCAAAATGCATTCTTTACCGTAATATGAAGACCCCGTAACATTACAAATTGATTTATGATTCAATAATGGACCCATTACAACAATTTTAAAGTTCTATACTGAACAACCATATAAGACAAGAAAACAGATATTTTAAGTTAGACATTGAACAATCACCTGAGACCGGAAAACAATGACATGAATAAGGACAATGCAAACTAGCAAGGCAACCAACAAGGGATGCACTTAAGAAAGTGTACAAGTTTTTTATTTAAAATTAGTATATCTAAATTTTTAAATTCTTTCAAAAGTAAATAAAGAGAGAAAGAAATAAATATATGTTTAAAAAAACAATATACATTGTGTTTGTTTACTTTGTGTTTTTTTTTTTTTTTTTTGGTGAAATAGTTATCAGATGCAATGTGTTGTATGAAAAGTAAGCATTGAATGTAATAATTTTTGGAGAGAAGCCGAGGGATTGAAAAGTGAAATGTTCATTGAGAAAAACAAGTGAACAAACTCAATATTAATCGAACGAAGTAAACATAATTATCTATCTTGAGGACCAAGACAAATTACTAATAAAAACTTCGTTTAGTTGTGTTTTGAAATAATTTGGGGTTTGTTTATACATTGACTTTGTGTTTGTGTTTTGTTGTGTATTTTTATAGATAATTGTGAATATGACATGGTAAAGAACTCGATTAAAAACAAAATAACACTCAAAAGTAAATGGAGCCTTGAGGTGTGTTTGGATTGTATTTCAACACAAATCACCACTATTCAGCCTACGGTTCCCAATAAAAATTAAACTATTTTATTCATAAAACATCACATCAAAACATTATTTAAACAAAAAGTCCAAATCAAAACCCCAATTCAAACCTAAACCAAACAAACCTTTAGTATTTTGGATTGTTTTGATAATGGAAAAAAGTTGAACTGGAAGTATATAGTATATGGAAAAGAGACGTTAATGTGGTGTTTTTCAAAGGACATATGTTATGAATAATGTGAAAACAAATTGAAAACACAAGAAGACAAACCCAACAGTTAAAATAAATTAAGAATATCAAATATCCATCATCACAATAGCAAAACATGTTGAGATTAGTTGTTTGACACCAAAATAAGTGAAATTATATGTTTTTATTCTTTTTTTTGTAAAAATATGTTTTTAGTTTGAGGTGTTCTTTTTTTATGTTAAAGTATGGAAAATCAAGTCAGTAATAGTAAAAAATAATATATAGTATTGAAAATTATTATTTTTTGTGAGTGGTAGAATATATACATTATATGAAATATGAATGTATCCCTTTATTGTATCTTTTAGTAATAATAATCACAAAGAGTGTTAGAGAAATTTTGTCAGGAAAACAAAAGATATATGTGTATTTGTATGAGTTTTTGGAAAATTTTCTTTTTTTGGGTTTTTGGTTTTGAAGTTTTTTAGTAAGATAAATTAGATGGTGTTTATATGGATTTTGAAGTGTGATATAATATATTTCTCCGTTCCAACTCAATGTATCTATTTTACTATTTTCATTTGTCCCACTTTTGTAAAAGTAATCTATATATAAATATAAAAAACCCCTAATTTTTACAAAAATATTATTTTCCTTTATACTTACATAGGCATAAATGTCAATACCATTACGCACTTCTATTAAACTTGTATATTAAAGTATTTTGAAATGACTGGTTAGTGTGCTTATTCGTTAATTAGCACCATGTTGACTAGCATGTGTTGTATGTATTTGTTTGGTTGTGGTTTGAAATTGATTTGAAATAAAATGTTGATTTATGTTTTTGTTTGAATGGTATTTTAATATGATGTTTTGTAAGATGAAATGATGTATTTTCATAGTGTTTAAAATCACAAAAACAATAAACCCCAATGCTTATTGATGGTAAATATGTTGTGTTGTCAGCACTGTATTCACTAATTATAATTAACACAGTAACATTAGTCATTTAAAAATACCTTGTTAGGTTGAGCTTTCAACCAACTTTTTTCACTCGATCTATGATAATTTCATTTTTATATCTCTAAATATTTCCACACTATTCATGATCTCGGTCGTATAAAAACATATTCTATATCTATTTTTCATTTAAAACCTACATAAAATCCAAGATGTGTTTTTTTGTGGATGGAGTATCTATATTATATATTTTGTGTGAATATATATTACTCCCTTCGTTCCCACCTACTATGTCCATGTTGCCGTTTCTGTTCGTCCCACATCTCATGTCATTTCCTTTTTTTTGAAAAATGATTACGCATCTTAATCTCATTTTAAAATTTTTAATTTAAAATTTTTTGATTTTAATTAAACTAATGAGTTATGTTAATCTTAATCATAATTATTTATATTATAAATTAATTGTCTTCACTAATACATTTTTAATTATTTAAAAATTATATTTATCCTAAATTCTCGTGTTTACGGTAACCAAGACACCCAATGTGAGACGGAGGGAGTATATTTTTCTACAATATTAATCGAGAAGCATATGAAAATTTTTTATTTGAAAGAACACACCTCTGGTTTTTATTTAAATCACCATTTATTAAGTTATTTATATCAAATCAAACTCCAGGGGTGTGTTCCTAATATTTGGATTGGAGTTTGACAACATTAAAATTTTGATGTGATATAAATAGATTTTGATTTAATGGCTTAGAATAAAAGGTTGATTTTTTGTTAATAAATTATATAAAAAAATGGGTGTAAGATGATTTGGGGAAAAAAAATTATGAATAAAGTGAGACCATGTCCATGGATATGTTCTTCCAACAAAAAAAATTGTAACACTGACTTCTTGATTAATATTATAAAAAATATATATAATATAATATGTACTATGTTCACATACAATATATAATACTCCTTCTGTTTCGGAACAATAGTCTCATTGGGGTTCGGCATGGGATATAAAGAATAATGATATTATATTGAAAGTGGGTATAAAGTAACAGTAAAAGACTAAAATGTTCTTGTGAGTGTGTATATATATAAAGTAATAATATTTGTGTAATAATAATGAAAAAGTAGGGATAATTTTAAAGTATGAGACTATTGTTTTGAGACGGAGATAATAGAGTATATACTCTATCTATTAAAATGGGATTGTTTTCGGAAAGACAAAAATAGAAAAAATAAGACTATTGTTTTGAGACGAAGAGAAGAGAGTATATACTTTATCTGTTAAAATAAGAATATTGTTTCAGGACAGAAAAAAATAAGACTATTGTTTTGATACATGGAGTATATACTCTATCTATTAAAAAAATAGGTGAAACTATTCCACATAAAATATTATTTTTTATATTAATTCTCTACACCTAATACATTACATTAAAAATATAAAGCAAATATACATTTTCCTATAAAAATAAATTCTCCCTGTCCCTCAAATATTTTCATTCTTTGTTTGTTCTACAGATAAATAACTCTTATTTACAAACATACCACAACTACTTACATTATATCTACCAAAACTTTTCTATCACTTTCATTAATTCATTCATAAACTTTCCAAAATGTCAGAACCAACCAATACAATAATATATATATATGCCCTCCGTCCCACCTACCATGTCCATGTTGCCGGTTTTGTCGGTACCACATCTCATGTCAATTTCTTTTTTTTGGAAAATGATTTAAACATTTAATCTCATTTTAAATTTTTTAATTTAATTTTTTTAATTAAATTAATTAGTAATCTTAATCTTATTCTATAATTTGACTTATATTACATATTAATTATTTTCACTACTATATTTTTAATTATCTACTAATTATATTTATCATAAATTATTGTATCTACAGTAACCAAGACACCCACAATGTGGGTCATAGGTAGTATATTTTATTCACATATGTTAGAAACCAGAAAACCAAAACCCAATAAAAGCACACTTGAAACTTACCCAAAAAGACCATGATCGCCGACTGCAGCACGCTGTATTTCCTGTTGCCGCCGCATTCCTTCAGCAACGCCTCAAAAGCCCGCCGCACAAATCCATCCCCAGCCATTCCTCGCAATCACCTTAATTTTAATTTAATTAATCTAATTTAATCACTCCTCCAAAAATAAAAAATATAAACAAACAATACAACAGATTTTTATTTTTAATTTTTTTTTCCAGTCAATTATCGCCAAGGAGAAAACTTAAACACGTATAGTATGATTGAAGGCAGGAAATTGCGGTTCGATTCTTCATCCAAATTAACCTCTAAAAATGTCGACGAATAAATAGGTTTTTACCTCGATGATTGATTTCGTTGGGAGAAACAGAGGAGAGGCGTTCCAAAGATCTTCGCCGGGAAACTCTTGGGAGCGGAGGGAGACTCTGGAAATGGCGAAGTGAGACGTTATTTTGACTTGTATTATTATTAAATATTAATATTAATTTGAAAATGGATTTTCTTCATTTTAGTAATCACAATTAATGCATTCATTGCGCATCCTATATATATATATATATATATATAAATCAACCTCTCATTAATTCTGTTCTTCTATTACTTGTTTGAAAATTATTATATTCCCTCGATTAATTGCTTTTTATTTTTTTATTTTTTTCAATATTAGTATTATAATGGATTGCAGTGAAAAAAACGAAAATATCTCTATTAGTATTAATATAATATCAAAATTAAAAATGTATTTATTACGATAAGTAAGCAGTACAATTACTAAATTAGTAAACGATAATCTTGTTTTGGGACGGACGGAAATAGAAAATAACGACCATTCAATGGGACGGAGAGAGTATATATTAATTTCATTTTAAATTTTTTAATTAAATTAATTAATTATTTTAATTTTTTAATTATTTATATTATAAGATAATTATTTTATTAGTATATTTTTAATTATTTATTAATTATATTTTATTTTTTTTAAATTGTTGGGTCTAAGGTAATCTAAACACAATACGACAATCTGAACACAATAGCCAGAAAAAGAAAGTGCTCCCTCCGTCTTGTTTACTATCTTTGTCCGTCTCAAAATAATAGTGTTATTTCAATAAATAATTATATCACTATATAACTACATTTACTCTTTCATTATTATTACACAATTGTCATTACATTTTACACTAATACACTCACATGGACAAAAATGTCTTTTACCTATACTTTTTATCCACTATCAATAATATTCGTTAAATCTCGTACCCAACACAACCAAAGTTATAGTTCTGGGACGGAGGAAATATAATATTTTCTCTATTTTTAAAATTACTTACTTGTCCACTTGGTAAGCAAACATTTTATCATTTTTTATTATACAAAATAATCAATATTTTTTATTTACATTAAAGCACTCATATGAACTTTATCCATCATGGAGGTAAAGATAAAAAATTTTATAGCAAAATTATCAGTAATTATCATTAAATTATACTCACTATGTTGTCTAATTATGTAATTTGGACACTGATTTTTAATAAAAATAAATAATAATTATTATTTTGGTCTTTTATAAAAAAAAATATACAAAATAAATATTCGATGTATTCTTTTACTAAAATACAAAAATATTTTTATGACAATTTAAAAAATAAGAATAATATCAATTTGAATTAAAAAAAATATAGAGTAATATATATTAAAATTCGTAGAAAAATAAATATATATTTTCTAAAGAGATAAATGAAATATTATTTTTATATATGGTAAACTATAGGAGTATATTAAAAAATATATAAATAAAAATACAAATAAATTCACGTTGAAGGGTCAAAGCTTGCTTGGTATGAAATTATGGCTTTCTTTATATGGTCAGAATATACTGTGTTTGTTCGGGGGTTTGGATTTTGGAGTGTGATTTGAATAGTAAAAAAATTGAATTTGAATAGTTGTATGATGTGATATAAATAAGTATTGATGTGATGTTTTGAATGTAAAATTGATTTTTAGTATAATATAAAAATAAAAAATAAATGTTCGATTTGATGTTTTCGGTGGAAAATTTTTGCATGAATAGTGTAAATCCCCTCAAATCCTTCAAACAAACACGCCTGTGTTTTAATTTGAATTTTTTTTATATAAGCATAGAAAATTATATTGTTAATATTAAAAAAATGTAAACTATTTTATAATTTCGTATCTAACTTTATTATTATTATTATTATTGTTTTAGTACTTTAAAATGTCTGAAAATAGTTTCGTAAATTTTTTTTGTTAAAATAGTCATCTGGTGTCAAATTTGTCACATTGGCCCACTGTTATTAATGTGGCGTTGATGCGCCTCATATGTCATCGTCGTGTCAGTGATACATCGGACGATTATTTTAGTGAAAGTTTTTTTACTTGTGGAACTATTTTTATACCTGGTTCATTTAAAGTTCTAAAATGATAAAAATGATCGTTTACGATAATAAAAAAACTGTTTACATTATAAAAATAATAATAATAATTTATATTGAATATGAACTCTTGTAAGAAGATAAAATATATATTGAGAATTCGAAGAAAATTTATGGACAAATCCATTATTTTCCTTATTGAAAATAAAATCAAATATTAACTTTTTTTACTATTCTTAAAATTTTTTAAAATTTAAAAATTCTATGTTTAAAAGAAATTTTGTATTTTTAAATAAATGTATCTTTTTATATTAAATATAGAGAATTATGTCGATTTTATAAAAAATATTATTTTCTATTAAATTATTGACTTTTTACTAAATAAAATATAATATATGTTATGTATTTTGTATTAATATATATTGTATATTTTTTATAATATTTACCGAGGATCATAACATTAAAAATACGTCGAGTGGACAAGCCATAATATTTTTACTTATATTTTTATTTTATATAATTAATATTTTTAAAATAAAATAATAACTTAAATATAATGTTTTTAAAATATATATTTAATAATAATAAGTCATGTTAAGAATGTTTCGCCTCTGGAGATAGTGCAACACCGAAGTCTTTTCAATAATGGTCACCCATCTTACTATAAGATTTGTTTAAAGGAGTTACGAGAATTTTGGGATTTTGAAATTTTGAAAATAATAAATAATTAAGGGTAAAAAATCAATTTTGGTTCAAATATAACTAAGATTTATCAATTTTGATTCCAATATAAAAATTTTATCAATTTTGGTTCTAATATAACCAAAATTCATCATTTTTGTTCCAATATAACCAAAATTTATCATTTTTGGTCCCAATATAAATTTTTTATCAATTTTAGTCATAATATAACCAAAACTCATCATTTTTTATCTCAATATAATCAAACATAATTTTTTTTTTCTGTCCCACCGTCAACAAACCGACGGAAAATACTGACGTGAAAAGAAATCAAACATTATATTTATATTTGAAGACTTGCAAGTCCACGTCAGCATTTTTCGTCGGTTTGTTAACGATGAGACCAAAAAAATAAGGTTTGGGGCGTATTTGGCAATTAGCTGATAGCTGTTAGCTGTTAGCTGATTCAATTAGCTGGTTTGACTAGCTGATTCGATTAGCTGTTTGTATTCAAATGTTTGGTAAAACAAACTGTTTGATATTAGCTGTTTATATGTAAAATGACAATTGAGGACATTTCTATTTTATTCTTGTTTATAATATATTCAATTATATTCTTTTGAGTTTAAAATGTTTAAAAATTTTTTGTTATTAGTTATTGAAAATTCTAAAAGTGTTATAAAAGTATTTATTTTTATTACAGTTAGATTTAAAAAATAATATATTTTTATTAAAATATATAAATAGTTTCTTTATTGAAAATGATGTAAAATATAAAATAACAAATTTTTCGTGTATATATTTATTATGTTAGTTATCGATTAGTTCATTATATTTATAATTTTTAATAAATTTAATTTATATTTAGTATAAAATTTATATAATGTAATTTTAATAAAAAATAAATTATTAATATTTATATTTTTTATTTTATGTTTATTTTAATAAATTTATATATTTTACAATTAAAATTATTTTTATATAAAAATTAATTATTTTAAATTTATAAAAGTAAACTATAATATAATAAAATATTCTAATATAATTCATAAATGATCAAAATATATTTATTTGTGTAAAATGTATAATAAATTTTTATGGGCATATAAGGAATAAAAAAAATTTTACAGAAAAAACTATTTCAAAATGCTGGGTAAGTTAGCTTTTTAGAAATTAGTTTATTGGATCCAAAAAGCTATTCCAAAAAGCTAATTTACCAAACACCTAAATTAGTTTTTTGACTGATCAAACAGCTAAAAGTTGTTCAATAAGCTAAAAGCTATTTAAAAAGCTATTTGCCAAACACCCCGTTGATTATATTGAGATAAAAAATGATGAGTTTTAGTTATATTGATACTAGAATTGATAAAAAATTTATATTGGGACAAAAATGATTAGCTTTGGTTACATTGGAACCAAAAAAGATAAGTTTTAGTTATATTGAAACCAAAATTGACAGAGACTAAAAATAATTTTTTTCTAATAATTAATAATTAATATGGAGTTTTATAAGATAAAATTATTTGATGTGATATTTTTAGAAAATAAATAGTGTCAAATTCTAAAATTATTTAAAATATTTTTATATTTGTATAATTTTTTGTACAGTTCTTATTATATTAATATCATGAGACACTAATAAAAATATTTTTGTCATTTTACCTTAATTTGTACTAAGTTTTGATATTATAATTAATATTTAAATATAAACACGCAAAAAATAAATATGACCTTACAGCCGAACGAAATGAATATTAATTTTAGTTTGCAATTACCAAAAAAAACTATATTAATTTAATTTTTCACTACTTACAAAACCAAAAACCCAAATTCAAACACTAAATAAACCCTTTTTCTTTTTTAGCCGTCACACAAAAAATAACTACTTTCTACTTTTAATAAATTTAACAATTTTAAACACATTTAAAAAATATAAATCAATTTAATTAAATTTTTAATCTATGACTCATTCAAAAAATTTTTATTTTTATTTCTCTCTTCAATTAATAAATATTTATTTACCTTTAAAACTCTTCATTCTTTTATAAAACTAATTTGTTGTAATGATAAATAAATATACTATTTTTATTTAATTGTAATATATAAAATTTTATACTCTACAAAATTATATCCTTATTATATATATTTTATTGGGATATAATTTTAAAAATATTTAAATATATATTTTAAATTTATTTTAATCATTAAATAATTAATCTCTACTTTCTAAAATAACTAAGATGAATTGGTGCTAGGCCATCAGAGTTGAATATAGATTAAAAAGGTTAACTGTTTTTTTTTAGTCCAGTAAATCGACCCTCTTATCACTTTATTCCGTTAAGTGGAGTCTGTTGCAAACTAATCCCATAAGTGAAATTTTTTTGTTATTTTAGTCCTCCGGCGGCGGAGTTGTTCACGTGGCTCGCGGGAAGCCACGTGTCCCGCCAGGTCAACGACACTTGGCGGACACGTGGATTTTATTTATTTTTTTTATTTTTTAATTTTTTTTTCAATTGGACCAAATAAAAAATATTAAAAAAGACAAGTAAAATTTTTTTAAAAAAATTAAAAAAATTTAAAAATGAAAAATAAAAAAGAAAATCCTCGTGTCAGCCAAGTGTCGCTGACTGGCGGACACGTGGCCTCCGGTGAGCCACGCGAGCGTCTCTAGCGCCGGAGGACTAAAACAACGAAATTTTTTCACTTATGAAACTAGTTTACGACATGTTCCACTTACGAGATTAAAATGATAAGGGAATATAGTTACGAGACTAAAAAATAATTTACCCTAGATTAAATGTATTGAATAAACTACTCATGTCAACGATGTGCATATTTTTTTTCGAAAGCCCTACTAAAAGAATTCTAAAGTTAAATTTGAAAAGTCTCTCTGGGGCATGCATGACTCCAAAATGTTAACATTCAAACCCTCAAACAAAAGCAACCAAATCAAAAGTAAAATTAAAATTTACATTCAAAATATTACATTAATACAAATTTATATTATAATAATTATTTCAATTTAAAATTTTAATATTCAAAACTTGATACTAACTCTACAAAACCTAAGTCCAAAGTAAATTTGTTGAAACTATAAATATATTGAGGGTTTGTTTATCCAATCAAAATTCTATTGATACCATTCTCAATATAATATATATATATTCTATTCTTTCACAAAAAAATCAATATTTTAACACAAAATATTATTTTTAATATTATCGACATAAATCTTTTATACTCCACCTAAAAAAATACATCAAATTAAAATACTAAACAACAAAATGTAAATTCTTATTTATTGAGCTAAAAAAAATATTGAATCAAAAACACAAGGTTGTATCCAATTGTTTTCTCTAAAAAAAAAAAATATCAAATCAAACCATTATTTATTTTATACTCCTACATTTTTCGTCCTCTATTTCTATTTTCGTCCGTCTCACCTTATTTGTTCTTTCATTTTAAAAAAATATATAATTATACACTTCAATTGCATTTTAAATTTCATAATGTATAATTTTTTTTTAATTTTAACTATACTATTTAGTTATCTTAATTTTAATTTATAATTAATTTTATTATAGAACAATTATTTTTACTAATATACTTACTAATTACTTCCTCCGTCCCGGAACTATAGTCTTAGTCTTGGTTGTATTGGGCACGAGATTTAAGAAATATTGATATTATATTGATACTGAGTAAAAAAATATAGGTAAAAAACATTTTGCCCTTGTATTAGAGTAAAATTATGGTTATTTATGGACAAAAATAGTAAACAAGACTATTGTATTGGGACGGGAGTATATTTTACCTAAATTTTTGTGTCAAGAGAAAACTGCACACAAAAAGTGGGACTGATGGAATATTATACTACAGATCTATTTTACATTCACAATTCGCAACATCTATTTATATCATATTAGACAACTATTTAAATTCAATTTTTTCCGATTAAAAAATCTAAACCTACAAACAAACAGGAGTGACAAAATGTATTAGTAGAAAAAACTCTATGGAACATCAAAATATTCATTATATGCACAAAAAAAATCTCTTAGGTACCAAACATTCATAGATTACAAACAATAGCTCATGGTAGTAGTATCCATTCACATACACTATAGTAAAATTTTAAAATTAAAACAAAAAAACCCGAAGAAAATGCGACCTGAAGTGAAAAATAAATATACACCAGACTCGACTATTTTGTTTTGCAACACATAAATAGGCATAGTAAAGAATAATTCAATTTATTCACTGAAGACGGCAAATTATGTCTAGACACAGAAACAGAACAATTAAACACTCATTTCCATTGATTATATATATATATATATATATGTAGATTATGCAACACTATAAATCTAAGGCAGGCGACGTATAACTCGGGCAACTCTTGCACGCATTATGTAGTTTAGTGAAGATGATAGCCATGTGTAACTACTTATTTAGCTATATACCTATTTTAATGAATGTGATATAAAGGCGTACCGAACAATTACGGATGCGCAGACGGGACTTCATCTTTGTAATCCGAGACAGGTTTCACCTCCGGTATGTTGTATGGTGAGTCTACCTGCAAAGTTGGGATTTCCAAATTCGGAATAATGGGAGGCTTCCTCCTCGGTGTGACTGTCATTTTTAAACCTTCTGTTGTGTGAATTGTTGCTCCGGTCGTCATGTTAACCTGCAGGGTATCATGATCATATATACATATATATATATATATAAGACGACATTTCACTTTACAGTCCCTGTGAGAGAAAAATAGAGGGCATGTATTCTTCAAACATTTTTCATTTCGAGTATTTCACCAAAAGGTTTATAGTGGGATCCACTTTATTTTCCTATTTCTACCTCTATCATAAATAAACGAAGATTTTTGTATACATTTGAAATTTTCTACTTGCTATAAACTAATTTATGTTATGTACAAATATGTAAATAGACATATATATATATTATATAAACATTTATTTTAGGGTTTAGTCCCGTAATTGGAGTTTGTCGCAAACTAGTCTCGTAAATGAAAATTTTTCGAAATTTTAGTTCTTCGTTGCCGGAGATGCCTACGTGGCACTCGTGCGACTTGCCAGAGTACACGTGTCCGCCAGATCAGCGACACCTGGTGGACACATGAAATTTTTAAATTTTCTTTTAAAAAAATTATTTATTTATTGTCTTTTTTGTAAAAATTAAAATTTTTCAAAAAAACATTTGAAAATTAAAAATTAAAAAAAAAATCCACATATCCGCCAAGTGTCGCTGACCTGACGGACACGTGTCCTCCGGTGAGCCATATGAATGTCACGTAAGCATCTCCGATGCCGGAGGACTAAAATTGCAAAAAAAATTCATTTATTGAACTAGTTTGCGATAAGTTCCAATTATGGAACTAAAATATAAAATTGACTAAAAATTTAATTTACCCTTTCGACATGACATTCATATTATAAGTATAGTTTTTAGAACATCTGGAGCATATTTTTAAATTTAATTTTAATCAAATTTATATTAGATCATAGGCACAATTTACCACTAACCAACATCATATTACTCAACCATAAAACTGAACTTCCCCAACTTGCAACCAAACACATAAACAATAAGTGGATTCAGAACTAGATGTAAAAACAAATGGATATCTATAATTTCCATATCTTTGCAGGAATTGTACCAAAATGATTCAGAACAAGTATGATGTCAAGTTTCAAGAAAAAAATTACTTACCGGAGGTGCTCCAAGTGCAATTTGGAAGTCAAACCTACGAACAAGCATTGCTACGGCTACAACAGTCTGCAAACACCAATTCAAGACAGTCAAATTACCTTCCAACAATTCGTACTTAAGCTGAGAAGATTCATATTTCATGACGTTGTCAACTAAGATAATCAATATCACCAATGAAGCACCTAAATATATAATCTAGATTGACAGTTTGAAGTAACTTACCTCAAATAAAGCAAACATGTCTCCAATACATTTTCTTGGTCCTCCACCAAAAGGCAAGTAACTGCAGTGGCAAAGCAGGCGGAGTTTTACACCATCAGCTCGTGCTAAAAAAATTACTCAGTAGTGTGTTTTGGTCAGAATATTACTATTAGATGATATAAATGACCGTCTCATCTAAAAGTTTAAATTGTTAGGATACACGACATCATTTAATTATTTATCTAAAAAGAAGGATAAACGCCACCAAACACGCCCCCTCACGGCAAGAAGGATAAACGCCACCAAACTAAATTTGCACATGAACAGCGAGAAATGGGGGTCGGTGGGACTCGAACTCGTGACCTAAAACTCTGATGTTAAAATAAATTATGAAAATTGAAAAATTGTATTATATTGATTACCAAAATAAGAGGCTCAGATACCATGTTAGATGATATAAATGACTGTATCGCTATCACCTAAAAGCTTAAATTACTAACTTTGTTACGAATCCATCTATTTAATGTACGTCGTATCTTATTTTTTAGACTTAGTTGTATCAATTAATTTCCTTAATAGAATTCAGAATTATGGAGCTTCTAAGATTTTATTGTCATTCCATATCTAATTTTGCATTTAATACTTCAATTATAAAGTGCTTTCATACTCAATTCTACGAACTGTTCGAAAACCCCCTTAAACACTTATGTAGCACGAAGAGTAGTAATGTTACTTCTGTGCTGGGAATCTACTTGTTTGGCATTCTAGCGAATTTACCACAGAGAACTGTAATTGAACTCTATCAATGAAAGATCAATCCATATGGAGTCTAACATGTCAATATATGACATGTGGTAGCCTGCCAGTCTTTTTAAGGAACAGTGAAGAATTTTCTCATATCAATTGAAATCTAATAGTCAAAATCGGAGAACCATCCTACCCATGTTTTCCAAGTAGTTCATGAACCAGTAATAAATTCCCTGATTAGTCAGAATCTAATAGTTGAATCTTTGCATGTTAAAGCATAAACAAAGGATAAAAAATATATTATTTTGGTTCGAAGTTACTAATTGTAAGCAAAGAATCAAACCTGAAATTTTGATTTGTCTCGTTTGGATTTGGACCATCTAAAGGCCATCTTTCAGGATTGAATCGATCAGCTTCTTCCCAATGCTTAGGACAGCGATGAAGATTCCACACAGAGATAAAAATATCTTCGCCACTACAAACCAAATGAGCATATGTGATAAGATTTGTCCATTCAAGGATGAAGATCTGGAAATAAAGCAAATAATAGCAGGAATATATGACATGCTGGTATGTTTCAAAACCCCAACACTTGATTTCCTGCAATACATTGCTAAGAAATTCGGGTAAGTAGTTCCATTCCTAACATATTTAGCTTTCATGAATAAGCTAAAGTTAAGGTCTAAAGGGAACAAACAAGCCAAGTTCTGTTTGAACTGCCCTTCTCTCCAGATTAAGCTAGAACATATAGAAGATAATGGGTAAGCATTCTATATAATTTGAGCTGCCATCGATCAATTTCATGAGCAGGCAAAGTTACATAAACTTGTAATTCCTGGAAACCTTCTCAAGAGATGAGAATTCACAAGCAAGATATTAGTATACTCGGTGGTAATATTTGCCTAACCTTTTAATTGGGTAGTCTCCAAGTACATCATCCTCAAGAGACCGGCGGATTAAAACAGGCGGTTGTGGATACAGCCTCAATGACTGTAAAGGTGGGTATATTGATAACAAACATACTTAAAAAATGGAGATGTGAGAAGTAAATATTATATAAAATCAGTATGTGAATTGTTAGGATATTCTCTCACTTCATTAATCACTCGAGTTGTATACTTGAGGTTTTTCATGTCTTCCATTGTCGGAAATCGATCGCCTAGTACAGTGTCAACCTATTCAGTAGACAATAGGAACACATTAATACGTCAATCTTATTCAAATGAAAACTAAAATATGCAAAGATGCAGCCAACAAAAGGTCTCAAAACAAACCTCGTCTTGAAGCTTGGCCATGACACTTGGCTCCTGGAATTCAATAACGTATTGTTGTTAAAAGAAACAGTGAGAATACTGGATTAAGATAGTAAGTGAAGCCATAGGAGGATAAAATTTGAAAGAGTTGCATAGTATTTGGCAAGGGTATGCTAGTCAAGGTACATATCTGACACTAACTAAAAGAATAATAAATAAGCCTAAGTCAATAATTTCTTTTTTTCCATGAACTGAATCCAATAAGTGTTTGCATTATAGCCCCAATAATGACATCGTAACATGCATTAATACCTTTGCAAGAAGATAAAATGTCCAAGTCAACACAGCAGCAGAGGTTTCATGTCCAGCTATGAGCAATGTCATTAGATCATCACGTAGTTGTTTGCTTGAAACCTACAAATTACAGCATGAGGACCTCACCAGAAAACCCATCCTTTTGCCCGGTATTACAAGAAGACAACATACATCATCTCCAGATGCTAATAGAAAATGAAGAATGCTGGGGTCTTGTTCATTCATGTATTCTTCATGAAACTGCAATTCTTCCTCATCCACCATTTTCTGCAAATGCAATTGGTTACTGAATTTTTATTTTTTTTGGCAATAACTTCATTTGCACATCACATTGATTGTCAAAAAAAAACCTAGCCAGTCAGAATTATCTTAGACTGCCACCAACAGAAAAACCACATTTCAGGAGATAATGGTAAAGAACTCAAATTCGATCCCCATGCTCATGATTTAGTTCATCGATAACATGTTATTGTTTGTCATAGCTGGAGATATAAAGAACGAACATGACCGCATTAATGCACGATGCAGAACAAAATTTACCTTACATATTGCAATCAGATCATCGAGTGTTTCATTAACCAGCTTCAGAGCACCATTAACCTTTCTCAGCTTCGGGGAAATATCTTTCCAAATGGGAATCTCCCAAACTGGAATTGGCGCAACACTTCGATCTTCTGCTTCTCGCAAGACAGTGTACACTGCCTGAACCAGAAAGATTTGCATACCACAGAGTTGCCTAGTTATAAAACTGCAGTAACCATAAATTTAAAAAATGACAACATGACAATGAAGTTAAAAGCTGATACCTCAACAATTCCAGTGTCGACTTGCAATGAGTCAAAGTCATAATTGAATACAGCTTTCCCAATGATATCCAATGTCAAACGAGAAAATAGAGACTCCATCTCCACATCCTCACCATCAGATGCAGCAGCATCAAGCTTTCTGCAGAGTCTATCAGTAGCTTCTCCAAACAGCTTAAACATTGCAGCCACAAACTAAAAGGAAATATTATGAATCAAAATCAATAAACACATTTAGAGAGAGAGAGGGAGCTTGCAGGCAGCACATAAACTTTCCAACCATTGGATTACAGCTTACATAACACTTTGTTGTGTTTACGCTACTTTTTTGTTCATTTACTTTTCTGTAGAGGTGGTTGTAAGTTTAGTTGTTGGTTGAGTACATACAATACCTTCTTATGCAGTGCAGGAACTATGGCTCGTCGTCTGACACGCCATATCTCTCCATCAGCAGGTATCAGTCCTTTCCCCATTACAAATTCCAAAATTTCAGCTAAAATCCCCTGTGACATAATCCAAGAAGTTGAATTAATAGAAAACAACACTATATCTAACTCCCAACTAGGTCCACAATGATGGAATTCACTAGTTGACAAATAGGAATTATACACAAGAGAATTAATCTTAAAATCTTGTACCTTTGAATAAGCCTTCGGGTTGTCTTTCAATATATGTTTTGAGATAGATGGATCCGATACTATTATAAAGGACTACAACAGAAACATCAAACTGGTCAGTCAGCAAGCAGGGCGAACTTAAATGGAGATGAGGACAAGAGTAAAGAACACAAACTAACCTTAGGACCAAACATTAGCCGGAAAATTCCACCATAAGTCAAGTAAAGCTCATACAAGGGCTTAAAGAAGGGTTCTTTTCTGATAGAACTGATTGAACCTCTAGCCTCTGGAATCTTTAAAATGTCTTCCATACCTTCGTTGAATTTGGATATGAATTGAAGCACCTCTTTCGGCAAGCCCAATTTTGACAAACCATCTTTGAGTTTCACAGCAAAGCTAAGATTGCAAACAAACATGCAAATAAATGTTGTTGTAACGGTAAGAAAAGCTCACTTTACACACAATAAAATAGAAAAATGACAAAAACATCGCTAAGGATGTATGACGAAATTGTTGCAACGAAAACATATCAACACTACCAATTAAGTAAAATATCAGCATATATTGAAGTAAAGATACGAAAAATGAAGCAAAAACAAACACACTCAAAACATTTCGATATTCCATAAATATAAACATGGTACATAACACATACATTTTCTTGTCCAACAATCCCAAATGCTACAAAACTTGCCCAACCTTTTAATGTTGAATCTCTTACAGTTTGTTGATGCATTTCATATTTCAGCAGAAATCATCATTTTCAAAACTTCTAAACTCCAAACAAAACATCAAATTCAACACATATTCTCTCCAAAAAAGAAATCAAACCCAAAGCAATAACAAACACATCCAAACTTTACTAACAGTTTTTTAACTAATGAACACACTCCACACTAAGATCATTCCTACCAGTAAAGGTAAAAAAACGAAAGCACAAAGTACAATCACATTGCTCACGTAGACTTCGTGAATTCGCCATTAGCGATGCGAGCAGACAGCTCCGCCCGACGCTTCTCTTCCAGAATCCTCTCCACTTCCTTCAAGTCATCCTCAGGCTTCCCTCTCCCATTCCTCGAATACAAACACCTAACTGCACCCACACATTTCACACCACCAGTAATCCTCAAAACTCAACAAAAAACAAAGCCAAACATCCGCACTCAGTGCTCCAGATAACGTACCACCATTGGACTTCAAACCAACAGCTCCGCCTAATTTCCTCCTGGAATCAACGCTCTGAAGACCTTGGGGCGAAAACTGCAGGATCGAGAAGCTGGCCGCCATGGTCGCACCAGACAGAGACGTAGACGATAACGTGTGGGAATATAGCAACGTGGAGGACTATACGGGAAGGTGTTTTGCTATTTCCAGGACAGGAGTACAATTTCTGATGCAAAAGGTACTACTGTTTCAAGCGTAAGAGAGAGTGGCGCTACGAAATATAGAGTGGCAATAGCAGAACAGGGACGTCCCCACTAACATACAAATGATGGTATCCGTTCGGTGGTGGCATTTTTATTATCGCAAATGGAGGATACGTTAGTTCTGGTCACATTTAATATTTTATTCACTTATTTTATTTTATTTATTATTATTATTATTATTACTATTTTGATTATAATATTTATACTAAGGGTGGTTTGTTCTCGAAACAAAAGTGGTTAAGTTTTTAAAATATTTTTACACTAACGAACAAAGTTAGGATCTTATTGGTTACCACTTCAATTATACTCTTTCCAATTCTATTAGAGCATTTTCAACCATGCTCTCTTGCCTTTCAACACTATTTTTGCCGTCGAACTGCTCCAATCCAGCGCCATTCCCAACACCAAATTTAAAATTTGCTACAGTGTAACACCAAGCAAACACTATTTTTAAAAAAAAAAATTTTTAAAAAAATTATAAATTTTATTTTATTTTTTAATTTTTTTTTAAATTTTATTTTAAATTATAAAAATAAAAAGTTCTTTAAAATAATAGGAAAATTTGAATATTTGAATAATAATAGTAAAAAATTAGAGTTATGGTTGGAGTAAAATTACTGTAGCAACTGCATATTTAGAGTTAAAATTGGATAAATGGAGATGATGGGTTAGAGATGGCCTTATATAGAAATATAATATTTCCTCCTCGAAACTATAGTTTAAATTGTATTTGAGACAGAATTTAAAAAATATTGATATTATATAGATAATAGGTAAAAAGTGCTGGTAAATGACTTTTCTGCCTTGTGAAAATATTAGTGTAAAAAATAGTGGCAATTGTGTAATAATAATGAAAAAGTAATAGTAATTTTATAGTGATATGATTATTTATGAAAATGATACTATTATTTTAAAACGTACAAATGGTAAACAACTTATTGATGGAAAAGTAATATATAAAAATAGAAATATATATAAAAAAGTAATATTTGATTCATTTTTATTTTCTTTTAAATGACTTTGTTCATTTATATTGTAATATTACTTACACAATTTTTAATATATATAATATGTACTTTATTTTTTTATAAAAAATAATATTAAACGAGAATAATTATTTTTGGATTAAATAAATTTCATTTGGCCCAATTTTAACAACGATTCCAATTAATGTATTTGCTTTGTGTTCAAACTTCAAACATAAATTATTAGAATTATTTAATTTGTACTGATAAAATATAATATTATTTTATGTAAGAAAATATTCTATAAAAAATATAATATTATTTTATTTTATAAAATATTATTTAAATTAAAATTTAAATAAAAGGTTTTATTTTAAATCAAAATCAAACCACTCTTTTCTTTTTTTTCTCCTCTTAATTTTTTCTATTTGAACAATCTTAATATTTAAAAGAATAAATTATATAACACATCTTTGTATTTTACTAGAAATGCACAAAACACTCTATATTTTATTTATTGCGTGAAATTCCTTGTGTTAATGGAAAATTTGCATGAAACACATTCCTTGTCTAAAACTGATGTTTGGTTCGAAATAAAGACTTAAATTACTTAAATTTTATACAAATAAAAAACGTAAAATATCTTAAATAATTTTTTTTGAATAAAATAAATAAATAAATAATTGATCAATCATTTATTTTTATAATTTTTATAATTTGTCTTCAAAAACTATAAAATGAAGGATTAATAAATTATTTATTTATTTATTTAATGTAAAAAAATTATTTAAAATATTTTGCGCTTTTTATTTGTATAAAACTTGCGTAATTTAGGGATTTATTTAGAACTAAATATTAATTTTGGATAAGAAGGGTGTTTCGTGCAAAATTTACAATAACACAAGAGAATTTTACGCAATAAATAAAATATAGGGTGTTTTGGGCATTTTTACTAAAACACAGGGGTGTAATATAATTTACCCTATTTAAAAACAAAAAAAAGGTGAGTTTGTTATTCCATAAAAATTTAGTGGACACATTTTCCGATTAATTATATATAAAATAAAATAAAAAAATAAGATTATTCACACATTGAATACATATTTAATATTTTTATTTTTAAAATTTTCAAAATTTCAAAAATTTTAATGTACTAGTTACAGAAAATAAAATTGTAAAGAAATACTAAAAAAATTAAATTGTAGATGAAAGAAATTGATTTGGAAAATTGATAATTGATTAATTTTTTTAGTAAAATAAAAAAATTCAGTTTAGAGAAATATGATCAAATATTATTTATTATGAGTATCTATATATATATATATATTTAATAAAATATATAAATTAATAATTTAAAAACATACAAATCAATAATAGTAAAGGTAAATTGTTCTTTTAGTCTAATTAATTGAACTCTCTTATTATTTTAGTCTCGTAAATGGAGTCTGTCGCAAATTAGTCTTATAAGTAAAAAATTTTCTCTGTTTTAATCCTCTGGCGCCGTAGACGTCCGCGTGGTTAGCCGGAATCCACATATCCGCCAGGTGCCTCGCCAGGTCATCGACACCTAGTGGACACGTAGATTTTGTATGTTATTTTTAATTTTTTTAATTTTTATTAAAAATAAATTAAAAATATATTTTTTAAAAAATAAATAAATAATGAAAAAAATAAAATAAAATTGTCTGCCGTGTCAACGATACCTGACGGACACATGGCTTCCGGCGAGCTACGCGGACGCCTTCGACGCCGGAGGACTAAAACAACGAAATTTTTTTACTTATGAGACTAGTTTGCGACAAACTCTATTTACGAGACTAAAATGATAAGGGGATTAGTTACTAAATTAAAAACACAGTTTCACAGTAACTATACTATTTTTGTCTCATAAAAATAGTTTTTTTGTGTTTTTTTTTTTTTTTTGTCGTGATTGTCTTTAATATTAAAAATATTTTTATTTTAGTATAATTTACTTTACAAATATTATTATATTTATATTACAAAAAATTTTAAATTTTTTATTTTTATTTTTTTGTTTAATTTATACTAATATAATAATTAATATTTTTTCCTGGGACAAAAATAGTAGTTCCTCTCACCGTTCACAACTTTCAATTCTACCAATTTCTCTACGAGAGAATTAAAAAAATAAAAAAATGAAAAATATATTTTTCATTTCTTATTTTCAGTGACAAACAGTCAAACGCATTGAATAATGGAAATTTGTCATTATTATTATTATTATTATTTGAATTCTAAAGAATTAGAGTTTTGTTCTTTTATCCAAAATTTTTCATTATATTGCAAAAAATTAATATACTACATATATTTATTATTTTTATATTATCTCCATGCTAAAAGTATATTCTTATTGAGTTGAATACGATATTTTAAAAATATTGATATTATATTGGTAGTTGGTAAAAAGTAAAGATAAATGACTTTTTTGTCCTTGTGAGTATATTAGTGTAAAAAATAGTGACAATTGTGTAATAATAATGAAAAAAATAGGATTAGTTTTATGGTAATATGATTATTTATGAAAATTAGACTATTATTTTGAGATGAACAAAAATGGTAAATGTATTAGAATTGAGGGAGTATTAATTATATATTTTTTTATACTTTAAATAAATATATATATATTCTTTCAAATCATAATACAAAACAAACAAAACCTAAGGGTGTGTTTCTTTGGCACAATTCCTCCCACACGTCCTATTCATTTACTGTTGATGACTATTTTGGCGCGAGGCAGATCTAGGCAGACAAAGTCTGCAACAGCTTCGTAGGCATTGACTACACATATATCTCCCTCCTCCACTATTTTATCTTCCCTTCGTTACTTACTTCTTCTCTCTCCTCCATTATTTCTCATCTTCAATACTTGTTTTTTATTTTCTTCCCAAATTTTCTTCACTCCCTTCGTTGCAGAGCAAGAATCATGGGATTTTAGCGATTTCGTCGGCCAATGAAGCAGAGGATTGCCGCAAAAAAAGTTTGGGGGACACACGTTGATAGAGGATAGGGTTTCCGGCGGTTGAGCGCAAAGAGGTAAGGAAAATTGAACTACATTTCAATTTGAGACTTAATTGATTAGTCGATTTCGTAAATTCGTGCAATTTTTGATAAATCTGTGATAGAACTATCTTACACACCAATCCGGCGTTGCCTCCCTAAGGGTTTCATATGGGAGCCAGAAGAATATGGATAGTTGTGAACGGCCGTGCATTTAGGTCCGTTTTTCTGCTTCAATTTCTACAGGAAGCAACCACTTATATGGAACGAGCACGACCGTACTTGATTAATTCTATTATGCTGTTTTTTATGTTACATGAAGCACACAACAAACAACAATCGACCACCGCCGTGCAAATGTAACTGCATTTCTCTGTCCAATGCATCTAGTGTTGTTTTCGAACAGCTACGGACTAATGCATGGCCATGCACAAGCTTGTTCTTGCATGTGTAGCTGTAGGCAAGGCTTAGAAATAGATCCGAAATTCTATTTTTTTTTTTTAGTTACAGATGAAAAAAATATTAATAAAGGAGACAAAAAATTCACTCTACACATATATTCCATTACTTTTATACTCTATCTGTCCCCAATATAATATGGGTTGTGTTTGGCACGAGATTTAAGGAATATTGATATTATATTAGTAGTAGATAAAAAGTACGAGTAAAAGACTTTTTTGCCCTTGTGAGTGTATTAGTGTAAAAAAGTAGTGACAATAGTGTAATAATAATGAAAAAGCAAGAGTAGTTTCGTAGTGATATGATTATTTATGGAAATGAGACTATTGTTTTGGGACGGACAAAAATGGTAAACAGGACTATTGTATTGAGAGGAAAATAGTATTTAATATAACTTATTTTCAATTAAATTAAAAATATTATCACTCCAATCATCACCTATCAAATCACTATCACTACAAAAAAAATATCATTTTTGTAACGAGATTTTTTCGTTTTAAATTCACTTTTTCCGTTACTAATGATATTAAAGACGGAATTAATAATGAAATTATGTTAGTTACGTTATCTTTATGGACGGAATTC